TAGCCGAACAATGAAGCTCTAGTAATCAGGAATGTCAATGTCAAAGTCTTTGTCTTTGATAAGTGAATGAACAATAAATATGCTATAAGGAATTGAACAATAAAAACATATACTAATTACCTCTGAAAGTTAAATAAAAGATCATGACAACACAAAGTCCAACATCTTGTAAAAGAACACAAAAGGACCTACCAAATAACTAGAATATAAAACATCACGCAGACTACAATACTGCCAGAAATCAGCTGATATAGGGCAAACAAAAAACATCAAGACTGATTTTTCCTTTCAAAATAGTAGGAGCATTAAACATATTGAAAATCATTAAGCTCTTACACTAAGTTCCCTCCTTGACCAACCAAACCACACAAGCATTAGCAACATTGTTAATGTGAGAAATTTTGTATCTAAACATACTGAGAAGAAGAAAATTTTTTGAAACAGATAAAAATGACTAGCATTCGGACAATTATTGACAAAAATCAGAGAAAGCAAGCCTATAGTATTCATTTCAAACCATAAGTTCCTAATATAATTATCTTGACAAATCATCAAACCATTAAGTAGGGCATAAAAAAAACACCTAAAATGTTATAATTAGGAATACCACAACCAAAGCCACTCATAGGCTTGCCAGTATAATCATGGATCAAACCACCATGCACAGCCAAAACCACCCATCACAATAACACCATGAATATTAACTTTAAATTCAACATAAGAAGGTAAAGTCTGTTTGACCTTAAATTTAGCCTTAGTTTTTTGTTAGGAAAATTGACAATTAATTCATATAATTAATTACAAATATTTTAAAAATTCCAAAAAATCCCTAAATGCTTGGAGACATCCCATTGCTCCGCCATAAGTCCTAATTTTATTTCCTATCGTGATTCCCTGATATTGCAATTCATCTGCTCTGCTTCACTCCATTATTCTTCAACGTAAATCAGTCGTAACTCCCTCCTCCGCTCGACTACATTTACTTCTGTTTGAATAGTTGCTATTTGAATGAGTTATATTTATGCAACTTATGTAGTTTTGATGATTCCAAACATTATTGTTCAAATGTATAGTTATCTCCTAACAATTTCAGAAGATTTGCACTTGCTCTAGACTCAACAACTTCCACATGCTATTTTCCTAAGATCACCTCTACAAAAACAATCTAACAACAGCTTCGACATCTACATTGGGTTTGATGGTGGCATATCGCTTTTCTCATCTTCTCTCTCCCTTTTGGCTCTGTATGTACTTTATTCTCTATCACACTCTATATCTCCTTGACTTCATCTCTCACTTTCTCTTATCTTACCTCTCATATAGGCTCTCCAAAAACTTGAATGGAATTTTGCTTCAATAATTTATTGAGCTTACAATCTTGAGGGCATGACTATTGGTATTGTTGGTGTCAATCGTACAAGAAAGCATTGATTGCAGCTTTTGTAGCCTTTTAACTGAGAAGATAAGATAAATTATATCTCTTTTGATTGTTAAATTTTATCATGTTACGAGTGAATTATTTACCTCGGTTCCTTTATTATTTATTAACATATGATTAATTTCATTGTGGATGGGGGCAAATTTTGTAATTTGCAAGCATATCTTTATAGAGTATATTAATTTTTCGTAATACATATAAAAATTAAAGTGATTTATTGAATTCTTGAATAATAAAACCTAAGCTAAAACAACGTTAAAGTCCCCCCCCCCCCCCCCGAACCCCCCCCCCCCCCCCCCCCCCCCCCACCCCCCCCCCCCCCCCCCCTCCAATGAAATTTCTAAGATTTTTCACTGATTAATTCATCGATGGTCGAATCAGATCATTAGCCAGTGATAAAAATGACTATAACTAACGAGTTCTATAAAATGACCAATTTTGTTACATACATTTATAATTTAGTATTTATTTTTGCTAGCTAGGTTTGATGTTGTTGATTTGTTAGTTCTAATAATGTTTGCATATTATGATTTCATAAAGTTATTTGATGATTGTTTGTTTTGAGCTAATGGTCAAGATATTGGAGATAAATATATAGTTAATTTCATGTAGAGAAAAGCATGTAGCTTAATTAATATTGTCATGAAATTTAAGTGAAAGTAGTGAGAGTTTTAGGATTTGAACTTTTATCAATCTGAACTACTTTAGGTCTCTTGCCCTCTCTCCTTTAATTCCCTTGAAGTTGAACTCCAATTGTCACACTGGCATGTTAGAGAAGATATATCTACAACTCAGCATGCTCACAAGCAGCTTCTTGTTACATCAATTACAAGCTAGTTGGGAAGAGAAGAATAAAAGTTGTGCCCACCTTAAATAGGAATACTCATGTGAGTCACGCACTATAAATCCGAATTTAGTAAATTCTATAAATCATGTAAATCTGAATTTAGTAAATTTTGGGTATGTTAAATCCTTAAAATAGTTTGGTAACATAATCCAGTGTTTAAGGCGATTAATACATTTAAAAATTAAATTTATTGTGTTTTTAATTTGATTTATGTGTTAAGTATGAATTATTTATTAATTTTAATTTAATTACCATCAGTAAGTTATAATGATAAATAAGACAATTAGAAGTTAGCTTAATTATCAAATAATTTAATTACTAATAATAGTACTAAGTATCAAATTATTTTATTAGGTGTTAATTTAATAAGTATTTGACATATAATTAATTAGTTCATCATTTTTTGAAATACCTAATTATTTAACTAATACTCATACTAATAATTTAGTTATTTATTCAAGTGCTATTTAATTAGTTTTAACTAGTAATTATACAATTAATTATCTCATTAATCACTTATGTATTCAACTATTAATTAATTATTTGATTATTATTTACACTATTAATTATATAATAAATAATTTAAATTTCAAACTATATTAAATAAGCTAATTATATTACATTTGATTACTAATTATACAACTAAGTATTTAGTTAAGCTAGTTTAAATTAATTATATATACTCCTATTTATACTACTAATTATTTAATTAATCTAATTAATTATTAATATTTTAATTATATTAATTAAGCTAAATTAGATTTTTTATCAAATTTGGATGGTGGCGCATCTGAGTTTTGAGTATTAACTTTAATTTATATTTTAAGTATAAGTTATCTATTAATTTTAATTTTAATTATCATCAATAAATTATAATTTAAAATAATATAATGAGAAACTATGTTAATTATGAAATTACTTATTAATCTTAATTTTTATGATATTTTTTAATTATTCATGAGTTAATTATTAAATTTAATTTTAATTATCATTAATAACTAATTAATAGAAATAGTATAAATAATATAATTTTATTTTTAGTTAATTATCAATTAATTTAGGAATTAATTAATTATTAATTATATTTTATATTTTATTAATTTTTGTTAAACTAGTCGAATTAAATTAATTAATTCCTGTGATATACTTCTATGCCAATGCCTGACTACCAATTTCAAGAATTTCTTTGCTCTGTCTTGTTCTAGCATAGGATTTGCTTTTCCTTTTCTCCAGCTATTCATAGCAATTCAAATTTGCATGCTTTGCGTGTGAGTTAAAGCTTTAAATTAATTAGTCGTTAAAAGACTTCTTCGTCTCCTTCGATTATATGTTGCTTCCTGTCAGATCAAAAATCACAATAGCTCCATCGTCATTTTCTGTTGGATCAAAAGTAACGACGACAAGAGCTCGCTTGTAGTGAAGATAACCATTTTCCCCCTTTCGCGTGCTTCTTCAGCCAAATCCCGTATATTCCCCGAACTTCCTGGTTTAGTAAATATGGGATTTATCGCAAAAAGATGATTACAATAGATTTAAAAAAATTAATAACAACGGATTTATTCCGTTGTGAGATATATGCCAAGTTGTAATCCAATTTGATAGGATTTACGTTAAATCTTGCTCAAATCCTACTTAAATCTTGTTGCTAGACAACCCCTTAGTGTTTTACCCACACAAGTGTCCTCATGCAACTAAAAGCAACAGAACTTATTAGCCTTGAACAAAATGTGAAAATAATAAGAGATAAGAATTGGTAAAATAACCTCAATTAAATTAATAATAAATATATAGTATATTATCATTAAAAAAGAATTAAATAAGTTCTATATTTAGCCAAATTTTAGTTAAATAATATACCATCTAACATCAAATTTTAACAAGTTATTATTTCTGGTTTATCCCACAAAATTTGTTTGATTGTATGAAATCTTTATCCTATTTGAAATGTTTTATTTAGTCTTAATTTTATTTTTTTTAATACATTTATTTTAATTTGTTTAATCCTATTATTTAATAAATATCAGTAGTACAAATAACTTTAATTGCTCATTCAATGTTTAGAAATAATGACTTTACTAGAATTCATCATTTAATATATTGAAGTTCATCAAACTAAGTAGCTCCTATGGTTTTTGAATTTGAATTCTATTAAATTACTAGATAATTAGAGAGAATATTATATTCCTAAAACTATTTTCTTAAAATTATAATAATTTAAAAAATATATAATTAATCATCATCTTAAATAATAATTTTATTCTTAAATTTAAATAATAATTCAATAATATTAATATCAATTCAATACATTTTAAAATAATTCATATATAAATCATAATAAATTTTTTACTAAAAAATTATTTTGAAAAACAATAAAAAAATTACACTGAACAAAGCCAAAACATGTCTATTATCGAAAAAATTAATACTACCCACCGCTGCTTGTCCGGGTGGTGAAAAGCCGGCTGGGCAAAACTCAGGTCCCTTGTTCGAATCCCTTGGCAAGCAGTGAAAGCCTTAAGTGTTTGCCCGTGTAAATTGATGTTAGTTGCATGCTAGGCCGACCGGAATTTTCACTGACCTAAAAACAGTACTTCCTCGTTACAAAAAAAATAAAAAAATTAATTCTTGTAGTGTCCGGACGTCATCAAATGCATACAGCATTAGAAAACGTGGTCAAAATTAGGGTTTTGGCCGCAAACCTGTTTATTAAATTCTTTGTAATTTTTTGGTTGAGAGAAAAATTCGTTGCAGGCGGAGCCGTCAAGCTATTTGAATCACCGTTTCCGCTTTACCAAAAGCCCTCTCGTTGGCTTGTGCGGCGCTCCTTGTCTTCCTCTCTCTTTCTCTCTCCTAGGGTTTTCTGTTCTCGTCCTCTCTCTCTCTGCTGCTCTATCTCGGGTCTCGGCCTCTTCTATCGACGGTGTGTGTTTGGAATCATTATCCGCCTTTAACCCAGCTCGGCGTTTCAAGATCCGACCATGGCGGCTGTTGCTTCAGCTGCGGATCGTATCCTTTTTTTCAATACGGTTCGCTTATATATTTTAATTTCTAATTATCGCTTTTCAATTTGGTTCTGTTTTATCGGATCTGAATCTATCTTGAGCTGATTCATCATTTTTAATTTACGCGCTATAAATTGAGGGTTTTACTAGGGTTTACTGCAGATCGGAGATCTAGATTTGTGGAAAATATTGAACTTTAATTTTTTTTTTCTTTGACTTATAGCCTCCCTTAACGTTTTGTGCCTATTTCGTTCTCTTTTCTTGATTTCTCGATCCTTTTTATTTGGATTTACGACCTGGGGTATGGAAATTGTAATTATTGTTTCATCCCTTAATTCCTTATCTTCCACAGAAGCAACAGAGTTGCTTAAGAAGCTTACGATGGAACCCAAGAACAAAACTCAAGAGGGTCATGATGTTGCCATGAAGGTATCCTTCTTCCTCCAAACTGGATTTGCTTGAGAATTCAGAGTAATAGTTCTATGGATATATTGCTCACAATTCTTGTTTAAAATTTTCAGCCTTCTGGAATTCAGTATGGATCTGCAAATGGAGTTGAAGCACCAAAATTTCAGATGCCATTATCAGAGCGTTCTGTGACCCCTGTGCTACCTGAATATGTGGATCATAATATTTGCTGCTATTTGCCAAACGGATATCCATCAACAGCTTATTATTATGGAGGTAATTTAATTCACTGCATATAGTCTTCTGTCCAATCAAACTTTTTATTGAATAATTAATGGTTTTCCACTGCAATATATGATTTTTTGGTTGGAGGATGAAGTTGGGTGTTTGTATGTGGGAACTAGTAATATAATGACTAAACTAGTTAATTTTAATTATCATTTTCAGCGAAGATATAAATATTATAGGAATTTAGACTCTAAATGTAAAAAAATAAACTAGTTGAAGTTATTAACAAATTTTCCTTTTTAAAAATAAGCGGGCAGCTGCTTTGGCTGCTCCAGCTTTTTTTTCAGCTGGATTGGTATATTATAACAGTACATTGGACTGTTTATTGCAGCTTATGATGGTTCAGTGAATGATTGGGATTATTCTCGATACACTGAAGGATTGGAGGTGGCACATGTAAGATATCTTACCATGTAGATTTATGTTTATGCAAAACTTCTGTTGAGCCATTTATATGTTTTTACTTTTCAACGATTGCATGTATTGTTTATGATTCGCGAAATTCTATATTCTAAAGTGTAATATTTTATACCAGTATACAATATTCTATCTTCTAAAGTGTAATCCAAACATCCTTTTTTTTTTGTTTTTTTATAAGCGTGATCCCATAATAATTTGTTAATATACTTTGTAATGTTTATTCTAACTTGTTAAGAGGCAAGCATAAAAAAAAGTAAAAGACTTTTTGTTGTGCTTTAACTTGAAGAATTGGATTATCTTCCCACTATTATGTTTTGATGTTTATATTGGTTGTTATGGAACTAAAATTATATTTCTGGTTTGAATTTGTTTTTTCTCAGGGAGTTTATAGTGATATGTATCACCATGGATATGGATATGCACCCTATAGTGCCTATCACTCTTCTGGTTCCCCTGTTCCATCCATGGGTCATGATGGCCACATATATGGCGCACAACACTACCAGTACCCTTCTCCATATTTCCAGCCACAAACAGACATGAATGGAACATATTCTTCCAACATCTCTGCTACTCAGGCGGATGTTAATGCAACTGCTGTTGCCGATAAACCTACTGCAATTGTTGAATCTGTCAAATCAAATTCAACCGAGGTTAATAATGGAAATGCTAATGGGTTCAAGGACTTTGTGCCTCTAAAGCAAAGGCAGCAAAATTCACAATTGACTAGTAATGGTACATATGGTAGTGGTGTTTTAGTTGGCGGGCACCCTCCTTCTGGTTATCAGGACCCTAGGTTCAGTTATGATGGTATTCGATCGCCCAATTCTTGGTTTGATGGACCTGCATTTTCAGATCCCTATGCCAGATCAACTACTCCCAATGCTTCATTTTTAGCTGCTCCACATAATAGTAATTTGGAATCATCAAGAAACCATAATGCACGTTCTGTTCCTCAACTAATGGTATTTGATCTGTGTATCACTTGTTTTTCTAACTAATTACATCAACACACCGCCACATGCATATATTTTGGTTTTTTATTGCATATTTCTTGTTTTTCTTTTGTTGCTTCATCGATTTAATTTTGATTTTTGTGAAATGTATCTTCCATTCAAATCACTTTTTTCAATGTTGATTGTGTGATCATGATGTATTAGTATGTAACTCATGTATAATTTCACTTACTCCAGGGCTTCAATGCTACTAGACCAACAACACCAATGGGACCAGCAGCTCATGGTATCATGAACAGGATGTACCCAGCCAACCAAATGTATGGGCACTGTGCAAATGCTTATAGGCCTGGCTTTGGATTTGGATCAAATATGTATGATTCCCGTATGAATGATCGATGGGGGATGTCTTTCGATGGAAAATACAAACCTAGAGGCCGTGGCAATGGCTTTTATGGTTATGGGAATGAGAATTTAGATGGATTAAGCGAGTTAAACAGAGGACCTAGAGCAAATCGCTTCAAAAATTACAAGGGTCCTGTTTCTGAAGATCCTAGTGTTGTTCCTGATAGAGAGCAATACAATAGAGCTGATTTCTCTGATAGATACTCAGAGGCCAATTTTTTTGTTATTAAATCATATAGTGAGGATGATATTCACAAGAGCATAAAGTATAATGTGTGGGCTAGTACACCTAATGGAAACAAGAAGCTTGATGTTGCTTACAAGGAGGCAAAGGACAAGGGAGTTGAATGTCCTGTGTTTCTATTCTTCTCTGTAAGATACATATGCAGTTCTTAGTTAATATTTGCTTCATTTACATTTAATTTTTTTGCCAATCATTTAGTTGACTTAATGGCAGGTGAATACAAGTGGGCAGTTCATTGGTGTAGCTGAGATGGTCGGTCCGGTTGACTTCAATAAGACAGTTGATTACTGGCAGCAAGATAAGTGGAATGGTTGCTTCAATGTCAAGTGGCATATCGTAAAAGATGTACCAAACAGCATTCTGAAGCACATTATAATCGAAAACAATGACAATAAACCAGTTACAAACAGTAGAGACACTCAGGAGGTGTGAAAAGCTATATTTAACTCTTCTACATTTCAAAATATTGTATTTAATTCTCATTTCTTTTAGTGTTTTTCTTGTTGTAGGTGAAGCTTGAGCAAGGTCTTCAGATGCTCAAAATTTTCAAGGAGCATACCAGCAAGACATCTATTCTGGATGATTTTGGTTTCTACGAGGCTCGCCAGAAGGTGATGCAGGAAAAGAGATCCAAACCGCAACTGCTTCTCAAGCCAGTAATATTCAAATATTTCTAATAATTTTGTACTTAAAATTATGACTTATAATATATTTTAAGTGTATTTTATATTAATGAGTAGATTCCTGAGCTAATGAGCTAGGTCGATTTGGCTATCCGCCCATTAACCCATTAAGTTTACTCACTACAATCATAATAATTACTCATGGTTATAATCTTAATGTTTTCTGTAGATGGTTGAGGTAAAACTGGCCAACCCTGTTGATGAAAAAGGCAAAGATGGGTCCAATGTGAATGGTGGATTGCAGAAACCTTCGGAATCAGTAACAGTTCTGAAGAAGGAAGCCGTTTCAGTTGACCTCGGCGAACAAAAGCAGTGTGATGATGATTGCCTGCAACCGGTTGACGGTGACAGTGATGCGCCGAAGGGAGTAAACTCAGTGGCTGAGAAGAGAATGGTTTCGAATGGCACTGTAAATGGATGCTAGTCTCAATCTTTAGTACAACAGCAGCCATGGATTCGATTGAAAGGTCTGTTTCAGCATCTCTGTGTGCTACTTGCTACTGAAATCGGCACAAAAATTCTCAATAGGTAATCAAACTGAGTTTTCAATGGCAGCTGCTGATGATGGTGTTCTAAGTTGAGCTCTGGCAAGGTTTGGGGGTAAATTGTGTTTTTTGTCTCTCTTTTCCTGAGCCTCCTCTTGTGTAGTTGGTAGATGCTTATTACCTGGTCTACCATACTTCCCTGTTTTAAAATTCTTAGTTTCTATTGGATTGGGTCATTTTCCTTTGGTGTTTTTGAGTACTTTGTTTCCTTTACTGTCTTAGCGTTTAGATTTTGTTAAGATCTTGAGTATGGTGTCCTTTCATGTATTGAGCCCTCAAGTTTTGTAAAGAGGCCTTCTCTTTGGCTTTTGTACCTATAAGAATCTGGAAGATTTTATAGCATTCTGCGATGCAATATAGAGAGTTGGATGGTCAAATGTGTCTCATTTGTTTCCCTGTGATTTTTGGTAAGGAATTTATTGTAAATTTTGTCAGAGTAGTATGGTAACAGGGAATTCATCACAGATCAACAATCTTCCTCTCCATCTTTTAATAAGCTTAATATGACTAAAGATATTGTTTGGAGTATTTTTTTAAAGCTATCATAGTCTTATTTAATTATATTTTTATTTTTTTTTTACTTTTTTGTGATGAGAAATTCTTTTTTAGACTCAATTTACTATATTGATGATTATAAAAATTTATTGCTTAAAATATTTCAAAGAAAAATTTTTGAGTAATAACAATAGTTTTCAAAAAAGTTTGCATTTTTTATAGGAGCTCTGTGCTCTCTTAAAAATCTCAAGTTTAAATTCAAGTTCTAGCCTCAACTAGTAAGTAATAGTATTAGTTATAGTGAATTTAAGATACTGCAACTAACTAGTCATAGATTTCAATAATATCAATATATCCATCATAAAGCTCCAAACTATAAAATAATATAACAAAATATAGAAATAAATGGAAACCTAAAAAATACTGATCAGCCTCACTCCTGATGTCCTGATCCCTTCCCAGATCTAAAATTAATAAAAATAATATAATGAGCTTACAAAGTCTAGCAAGTAACTAAAACTTACTAATGCGTAAAAGATTCAATATGTTTGCTCTAATTCTAATCAATATCAATCATTAATTTATATGAGTAATAGGAAATTTCTAAAATTAAGAATAAAATGAATATAATCATTGAAGTCAAAAGAAATATATCAAATTATAAGAAAATTGATAAGAGGACTCAATCAACAGGTCATATAAGTATTATATGCTATGTTGTATTAGTATCAATGTAGGTTCTATCAATACAACTTCAATTCTATCTATCAATAAATTCAATGCATTATCATAGAAATGAAATCATAAGAAAAATTATGAAGAGGAAGGCAAAACATTCTCATTTAATGTGGTGATTTCATCCTTACATATATATCCTATTCAAAAAATTACATTGTGAAAATTTATAAAAAAATTAAGATAACTTTTGCAAGTTTTAATGAAATTAAAACTCATAAAATAAAAAATATATAAAATTATTAAAATCAGAGGTAGGATAATGATTGCCTATCTTGAGATGAGAGAATTTCTCAACTATACCGACAAGTAAAAATGATTCAAAAACCTCCAAATCTTAACTTTTTCATTTTTTCTTCTGTTCAATGAATTAGAAAGCGGAAACAAAGCTTTAATAAATATTTTAAGTGCTTAAAGATATTTTTGAAAAAATAATCTAAGGGTATGAATGTAATTATATCAATTATTTAGGTTTTAACATTAAATTCTTATAAATTTTTTTCTGTCTTCAAATTCAAGAATCTAAAAATTATAAAAAAAAATATTCCAATATGTCTAGAAAACTCAAATGAAATCAGTTTACATAACAGATACCTAACTGTCTCAAAAAATCTACTTTTATCGACTTGTGTCAATTTTTTAAGGGATTGCAATACTTAAAGGCTAGAAGGAGGTGATAGAAAATTTTCACCACATACAAAAAATGAGGTCAACAAATAATCCAAGAGTGATGGTGCTTAGATGGAGCGCTGAGATTATTTGAACTCTCTTGAATCTCTAGTCAATATTCTGTTATAAATCCATGGCCTATTTATAAATTTTGCAGAATGGCATGTCCCATACATAGGAAGAAAATTTGGAACACTCCATTAAATGTCTTGTATTGATTCTCTTAATCACAGAGCATTCATTTAACATTTAAGGGCCTTAACATTATCATAATTAAGTGATCGTATGCTCGTTTAATTCATCTCATCAAGCCACCCATTTCGAGTAAAAACATGACAATTTTAGAACTCATTTTATCATCGAATTATAATTTCAAAATTTTAACTATTCTTTGAGCTCAATATATGAAAAAATTAGAACGTGCGGTGTCCGAACATGTCCGGAGATTAATTCGGACACACCACATCACCCAATGTACAATTCATTGGATGACATGGCATGTCTAGATAGACCTCCGAACGTGTTCGAACTCCGCACGAAATAATCTCTCATATATATGAGCTTTCAGACTGTGATTGAAATTTTTTGGTTTTTGCCATTGGGTTTATCTCGTTGAGCCGATCAATTTCATCATATGTTTATTGAAATTAGAGTCCGGAAGATCCAAAATTTAACTCTAGAAATTTCAAATTCGAATATGCATTAAAATTCGTGCCTAATCACGCCATTTTTTTATGAAGGGTAATGAAGATGTATCTTGAATTCACAATTTTTATATTAGGTGTGGTCCAAATGCAATATTGAAAATTAATCTTTCTTAAAATATTAGTAAATATAATTTTTTTGAATAATTCCCTAAGAAATCTTAATGAAATTTGAGAAAGAAAATTATTGACTTGATTGACATTGTGATATCCTCTTGCTCCTAAAAATTATATCTTAATTTCTCATCAATAATATAAATAAAGAAATCATTAATTTTTTCCTCATTAAGGAGAAGGCAAAAACATAATTCACTACAAAAAAAAATTATTTTTTATATACTTTAATTCATTCAAACCAAATAGAGAATTGAATGCCATTTTGGTTGGATCTTAGAGAATTCTAAAGTTTTTTTTTTTTTTTCCAAATTTTGGGCGTAACTATAAATATAACCCCCTATATGTAAAAAATAAATGAACATCAAACTTTGTTTGAGACTATTTTATTACTATTTTTTAAAAAAATTTGGTACAATAAATTTTTACTTTAAGAAGCAATAAAAAAATCGTTCCAAACAAAGCCTTAATAAGTTGTCCCAAACCTAGCCTAAGTAATATAAATATTCAATTTATTCAATTTTTGTGCATGTTCTATTAATATTTAGGTTTCATTAGGAACAACTTTTCAACTACTTTCAAAAGTGATTTCTTAATATAGAAATTTCTTGAAGTAAAATTTTTTTATTCGAAAATTACTTTTGAAAGCACTAAAAAACGGTCCCAAACAAGATCTTACATTCTTAGTACTTTATAAATTTTAACAATTACTTTCAAGGGATAAAATAAAACAAAAACAAAAAATCAAATATTTAATCATCCACTATGATGCACAGACACTTCTCCTCAAAGATGCATGCAGTGTCTGACACGTATATGATATGACACGCGTCCAACACTCCTCCGATATGTGTCAGATGTGTCCGACTAAAAAAATATTAAATACAAATAGGACACGTGTTTGACACGCTTATCTTAAATATTTTATGAATTTTTTTAAAAAATAATTTCTTGTATTTAAAATTTTTACTTATTTAAAATATAAAAATTAAATTTCTTATTTCATAACCACAACACCAAATCAATCGTCCGCACTTAATATCTCATTCAGCGAAAATTCTCATTTTCATTTCTCTTTAGCAGGTTATAACTTTGATTTCACAACAATGTCTGATATCATCTCAACATCGATATCTAACATCGTTACAACATGAACATTTCAAAATGATCTCCATATCAAAGTTTGACGTTGTCTTTACATCGATGCTTGATGCTAGCCATTTCTACACCCACAACTTAACATCTCATCTTTGTCCTACGCCTTCTCAACATCGACGACTAACGTCCTCTCAACATCGATGATAAACACTCTCTTAACATTGACGCCTAATATTTATTACATAACATCAATGCCCAATTCTCGACCGACAACATTGTTATCTCATCTCTAGGTGATTGATAAACGACATCAACACCTGACTCTCGACATCCTAATATTAAACACAAATTCTAGTCAAATGACTTATTATTCTAAATTATTTTTAAAATTATACTTATTCAAATTTTATATACTATTTTTAACATATATAAACTATAATACCGTGTCCAACTCATGTCTGTGTCATATATTTTCAATAATTGACGAGTCCGTGTCATGTCTGTGTCGCCGTCTCCATGTCTGTGCATCATAGATCATCCAACATCCAAAATAGGCGTAAATGTCTAAACCTTTAAGGCTTCGTTTGGCATCTTTCTAACTACTTTTTAAAGTAACTTTTTAATACGCATAAAATGTTATTGAATTAAAAAATTTATTTTAGAAAACAGTAAGAAAGTTATCCCAAACGAAACTTAAATATTGCCAAATTTCTTCAAAAGAACCACAACTTATCCCTTGTTAGTAGTTTTTTCAGTCTTTAACTTCTTGATTAATGTTATGGTATTAAGAGTCTACAGCATTCCACTGATGAAAAGCTTTATTTGAGAAAGCTTTCTTTCTGTTTTCTAAAGTAATTTTTTAACACAAAAAATTATAATTTAAAAAAAAAACTGCTTAAAAAAACAGCAAGAAATTTATCTCAAACGAAATCTAAAATATGCATAGAATAATTCTAAGAAAAATAATCATCACAATATATAAAATTTCATTCAAGTCAAGGTGAAATATGCATTGTATTAAACACTTTAATTTGCTACAGGTACAGTTAATTGAAGTCAAAAGTCATGGAAATCTAAATTACTATAACAGCCAGTTTATATTAATCAGGCTGAATGGGAAATATACAATGGAAAGTAATAATGACATTACCTCATATTGATTTGAATTGAGGCCATATTACCCACTTGGATAAATAGAAATGAAGAAAAATATGAATTTCATCAATTGGGCAAATACTGGCGCCATTCATCTGGAACTCCTTTTCTAAGCTTCAGCATTCTCACAGCTGCTGATGTCAAAGGAATGGAGAGTATGTCATAGTCTTTTGGAGCCTGTATGAATAACAAGAAGGCATTTGATTTGCCTCTGATGAAGAAAATATCATAACAAAGAACTAATAATCATTTAAGTAGAGGAACCTTTGGAATCTTAATCAACTTCATGTTTGCTTCCTCAAGGGACTTGTGACCTTTTCTTGAGTTGCATCTGGTACAAGCTGTTACCTTCAAATTGAAGAAACAAAAATGGAATAAAATGGTGATATAAAACATAAAAAAACTAAAATTTGATGGAGCTCCATGATATATAGTTACATCAGGAAAGCTAATGACTAATGATTTTGTTCAGTACTTGTGATATCAAAATGGGGGATTTCATTGTCTCGGGCTTTTCAACTGAAATGACTGTATTTTTGATCGAACTTCGACAAACTTTGCTCCTATCTTTGTTCCATATTATACTTGAAAGTTAAAATGAAGGTATTCAAAGCCATGTCAAATGGTGATATGTTCTGCATGCACAGTTTCAACTTAAATGCACAGTAGCACAAAATAAATAATTTATGAGAAAATAATTATAGCACTAAATTCAGGCTAAGAATCAATATCCCATGCAATGTAAAGAAAATTAACATATTGTAACACTGTTCTAAAGCAATACAACAACAAGAAGAAGCATTTATCCCACTGTGGGGTCGGCTACATGAATCCGTTTTCTCCGTTGTCTTCTATTAAGGGTCAATTTGTCATCTAAATCTAATAAAGAAAGTTCATTTCTAATATTTTCTAACCAAGTCTTTTTAAGTCTACCTCTACCTTTGATGAGGACATCCACCGTACATTTAGACATTGGCGGGATCATAGATCGACGGCTATGATTCATAGTTTTTATTTGTGTTCTAGTGCATTTCTTTTATTTATTTTTTAGTTTTCCATTTGTACCCCTATGAGGGATTTGTGTCATGTTGTAGCCTGAGGGCATTTGTGACTTTTACATTTTGTGCTTTGGAGGCCTATATATGAAGGCCTAGTCTTTGTATTATTTTGGAATGATGTTGATGAATGAAATTTTCTTATTGTTGATCTCTTTGTGAGTTCGTGAAAATTCCTAAGATCTCTTTGTGAGTTCTTGAGGAGGTGGTACTTGAGGATCTCTTTGTGAGTTCTTTCGGAGGTGGTACTTGAGGTTTGAGCTCTCTAAATTTTCCCTCTCCCATACACCTATCTTCTTCTTCCCCTACTTAACCTAAGCATCACCTCACCCCCCCCAATTAAATCTCAAGCCCCTCTCTCCTCCCTATATGGTCGGCCACCCCACCCTCTCTCTCTCTCCCATTAATACACCATTAATCCCCTTTCCCTCCTAGCCAAATTTCAAATTTAAAATTCGGAATTTGAAATTAAACCTCTCATTATTTGGAAACCTGAAATTAATTTCAAGTTTATTCCCTCCCTCTACCTAGCCCACCCGCCCCTAGTCACCCTCACTCGAACCCCAACCCGTCCACCCTCACGGCCCACTTCCTCCCTCTCCCTCTAGCTCATGGCCAAGCCCATCCCACTCCCAAACCGACACTTCCACCTCCCCTCTCCCTCTCTCTTCCCTTCTCCATTCAATACGAACATGAATGGCGAATCCGGAAGTTGATCATGGATTCGTTTACGATTCTCAAGAGGAAGTCGACATCATTCAATCACCATTCTTCGATCCCGGATTTAGGTCTGAAGGCACCGTCGAAGAATACGTGGAGTGTATTCTCTTTACTTTGGCAGACGTCAACAAAGAGCAACAACCTACAGGATCATGGAAGATCGCAGGACGACCACCCGTCTCTCCAACTCCAGCCAACTCTCCGTTAATCAAAATCTCTGGCATCCTCTGTCTCGCAGTGGCATCACTGGGGTTGCTAACTTTTTTCCTCCGCTAAACCTACTTCCAAAGAACGATCGAGAGGGAAACTCTAAGGTGAAAGTTATAATTGTTAAGAGGTGGATTATTGTTAATCGCATATTTGTTTACTATTTTCTTGTCATTATTTCGGATCGCTATGTTTATCTAACGTGTAACCGCATGCTAGAAGCAAGTCAATAACTACGAAAACTGAAAATCCTAAACTTAGTGAATCATTAATGTTATAATTTCATTGCGGAAACAAATTTCTTAATAAGATCCTGCAATTCCGTTGGTTGTTTCACATCAACCTTTCTTAATATAAGTCAAATTTAATACGTCTTTCTTAACCCGGTCACCAGAAGGCCACCGTTTTACGTGACCAAACCATCTAAAGGACTCTCTCTAATCTTATCTTCCACTGGAGCTACCCCAACCTTTTCACGTATATGCTTATTTCGTATCCTAAGCATTTCCACACCTCTATTGGAATATCATCAAGTCCAACAGCTTTTCCACACTTCATTTTATTTAAAGCCTCTTTAACTTCGATTTTACTAATACACTAATAAAAATAAAAATCTTTATTTTCATTTAGGGTGCTAAAATCACTAAAGTCAATTACATTCTCATAATCTTCATTAAGAAGTTTAACAAAATATCTCATCCACCTTTGTTGAATATCCTTTTCTAATAAAAGAACTTTTTGATTTTCATGCTTAATACACTTCACTTGAACTAAATCCTTCACTATTCTAAAGCAATATAAAAGAAAAAAGATTCAAGCCACATGAGCTTGCATGAATGTGGTAATCAAGTAGTGGTAGATAAGATGAAAATCTTATGATTAATTCATCACAACAGAAATGTAGAAGATATTTCAGAAAGTAAAAAACTTACCAAATTTTCCCATTTCCATTCACCACCCCTTGAAATTGGTAAGACGTGGTCAATAGTGCAGTCTTGACGAGAAGAACAATATCTATTGATAAAAACAACAGCTTCTTAGCAGCATGACTTTCAGAGCAAGCAGTGCAAACTAGGTTTTGTTTACCTTTCATGAATGAAAATAATTTGCTTAAATGAACGGGAAATAGACAGATATAATCTTAGAAAATAGAAGTTGGAAGAGTGCAGGATGATGTTTTTATGTCTTAAAAGATTAAATCACTTTTATCTATATCTACATATCATATGGATCTGTGTCAAAGAACTCCAGAAGCTTATCCAACACGAAGCTAGACATGATCTCGAAATTGCTCTCCTCTAGCTCACCTCTTCTATGTCAAATCCACTCATCAACCCCACCACCATTCACCAATCTCTGCTTGCCACGCCTCAAAGCTGGCTAAAATCTTGTTGATGCACGATTCGCAAATTCCTCCTTGCCTTTGATGAACTTCGGCTTCTCAGAGTTTCCCGAATCGTTGCCAAATATCCCATTAAGGATCTAAGCGAATACAGATACATCAAATGAGAATGGAGCACAGGCAGCATCAGAAGTAGAGAAGCTGTCAAAGTTAGATCACTAATGATGACGAGTTTTGTTAGGAGTCAGCTTGACAAATAGGGTATTGTTTGTCTATACTTTAAATATTGGGCAGAGAAATAATGGTTATATGCAATAAAATCTATACACTTAGAATATGAAGATTGTAGCGCTCAGAAGAATAATAATATATATTTTGAAATGGGAAAAGAATCCACGGTCAGATATTGTCAAGTTATTTGAATAGCACTGGGAGAGAAACAAGCATTTCAATCATGCAACAAATTATTCCAATGTGCACAGTGGGTTAGGATAAATGTGGCACTTTTTCAATTGATTTTGGTTTGAGCCTTAAGTGATCCACAATGTAGATCATTGAAGCTATTTGTGCGATATAAATGATCAAGTTTTCTCAGCCAAAAAATAATCAGTATTATAAATCTATTTTCAAGAGGTCTCCAGATCTTTTCAATAACTGCAAGGCCGAATAACAGTTATAACAGTGATGCTGTTACTCTTTTTCCCAAAAATATGGCATCAAATGAGCCTGGAGCACTTCCTACATCCGTAAGTTATAACAGCCCAAATTGCATTATTGAAAGTGAACCTACTGGCAAGTGTAAGAATCCCGGTAAAATATGCTTTTCCGACTGAGACTGTGCTTTATTCTCCTTCGTTTCGCTGCCTGAAGCAAGTGCGGTACCTGTAGAGAGTGAAAAGCTGTTAGAAAGTGAGCCAGCTTGAGTGAGCTCAAGTGTTGTTTGGCTCTGCACATTAATCAAACAAGTAATAAGTTTTTGTTTGTGTTTGGCTCATTAACTTTTTAGCCGAACGAGATTTATTCACGTAACGAGTATAAAATATAATTGAAAGTCATAAATAGATTATGGAATATACATATTACCACTTATAAATACATAAATATGTGTGACAATACACAATCTCTCTCTGTTATTTATTTATAAATATGCACACACGAACACATATATACATATAACATATAAACATAATCAAGTTATCATCCAGTTGAATACTATCAAACAGGGAAATCTTCATATTTGACTTGTTAAATATATGAGCTTATAAAAACTATTCGAACTTGAGCTAATTATCAAGTTGAATATAGTTAAACATGAACAATTGATGTCAATATGCAATGAATAGTGATATACAAAGATAAATCTTTAAACTTTAGTATTATAAAGTTCAATGCTATCTAATGCACCCAGAAACTGAACAAAAAGACTTTTCATACCCTTAAAACAGCCGGAATGTAGAAGGAGCCTTGAGGTGAGGACACAGTCTGATCATAGTATTCTAGAACATCAGCCTGTCAGATTAATTGGAACTTCAATGTGAAACATCTGGTGATATGCTGGTAAATATTTGCAAGTCAGAAAGAAATATATTTTTGGGTTACAGGACAGAGAATCACATAGCTTTAGAAAACTTCATTTTTCCTTCTGATGAGAAGGAGATCTATAGCATGAAAAGTATTGCAGCAACCTAACCTTCTCCATAAACTCCAGACAAATTGCACGCTTCCAACAAACAACATTGACAGGTCTGAAAAATTATGCATAAAGTTAGTCGCATCATTTTGTCAAGTGCATAGCATAAACACTTGAAATATACCAAAAGTGAATAAGTACAAGTGTAATGGAATTTTGTTGTTGTGAAAGAAAGTGAGCATAGGACCCTTATAAGCTTTTAGCACTGCTTTCATAAGGTAACAGATGGAGATTTTGATGTTGTCTATGAGAACAAGATGTATTCTCTAGCATTTCTAGATGCAAACCTTACATTTGAAATTCGTTTTAGGAATACTACTTGATATTGTTGACTTTCAATGCCAATTTCTATATATCTACGGCCAAATGGGTGTTTTTCTTTTCAAAAGTTTCACAAAATTTCTATTTTGACAATTATTAAATTATTATTTAAGGCAAATTCTATGTAATTTTTTGTTTGTATCAAACATAAGCAAGCATTTATTTTAAATTGGTATTCTTTAGACTGAATTCTACACTTTGATTGCTTTTCATTCATTGCATCATCCTTTACTTGGCACTGGGATTTCTAGACAAAGTATCCAGCATCAAATTAGCAGGCGAGCTTAAAATTGCATCATCATGACAAAGAGAAGTAAGGCATAACAATTGAGTCAATCCACAAACAATAAAAAGATGAACTTCAAAGAAAATTAGGTAAGCAATGCAGCAATAAGAATACCATGAGGTTCACAATTACATTCCTATATTAAATAGGAGATGTAATGTTGGGGAATTTTTTAATTGAATTGATAATTTGAAAGATGTCTTTGAACATTATATTATGTTTGAGTTGCACATAATAAATCAAAATTAGTGGGACATGCTCAATCATTTTTAAGAAAATGTTGCTAATAAAGTTACATAGAATGATATGAACATAAACTAAAATAAGCTATATTTATCATTCAGTGAATAATTGCATTATCAATATTAGAATTGTAAACAAGAGATTATATTGTGTTTGAATATTATGTAGGTTTATAGGGCTTGTAGCTAAATTTTACTTGCCTCTAACTATTATGTTACATCATCTATTTCATTAAAGGTATAAGATAAAAACTAGAGATGAATTATATTAAATATTAAGCAAAATTATATGTCCTTTCCTGTTAGGGCTATTGCACAATTGATTAATATTCTTCAAGAAAAATCTTTAATAAAGAGTGTCATTAACAAATGCATACCACAAAACTCTTTTTCTAATCTGTGAAGCTATCGATTTCTCTACTGGAAGCTTGCATTCTTTGAAATAATCGATGAAAGGTTGTCTCCAATCATCTTGCTCTTCAACCATGCATGCATCATTTTGAAAGTTTAATACCTCTTGAGAGTTGCATTCGTCTTGAGTAGTTAGTAATTTATTTGGTTGGTTTTCACCGATGATTTGTTGTGGAGTGTGAGGAACAATCGAAGTTGTTTCCTGCTGACATGAATTTGATGACCCCTCTACCAGCGGGGATAAAAAAAATAAAAAACATTGGTCAACAAAAATCTCATCTAAAGCATTTACAAACACAATAATTATGTATAATTAAAGTCAATTCAATAAAAAAAAAATTTGAAGTCCATAAATATTCTTTTAAGAATATAATGGATGCATAAGATGATTTAATTATAATATGAATCAATATCTAATGTTGTTGAACATGAATCTACCCCTATATTAGATCATGTTCATGAGTCAGATTCTATACCTGATCAAGAACCAAAATTTTAGTGTAAAATTGAAATTGACTATGATATCATATCAAAATCAGAGTTTGAATCTCAAATTGGTATTAAGCATGAGATCATATCAGAACCTAAATATTTTATGGAGGTGAAATCTATTTTGTATTTTCTATGTGAAACTGAATAAATCATGTCGATTACATCAAATAAGCAGTATGATAACACAACTCATATTGCAATATCAACCAAATTTACCACTACATCTTGTTGACCTCATTATTTGAGGTAATTTCCTCAAATTAATCCTACTACCTAGGACTTCGCAGCCTAGTGTGGACATGTCCACTAGCAGGATTCCCTTTAGGTGGATGTATATTGATGTAGCACTGACTTAGCCTCTTAATTCAACCTAAATCCAACCTAGCCTAACCCAAATCCAATTTGATTTCAAGCATGATAGTGTAATCGAACATCATTAGAATTAATTGGGCTCGATTCGATTTCAATTTCAACTCGACAGGTTAGATCGACCTTACATAACCCATCTCTGGCTAATTGGAATTAAGTGGATACTGAATCGAGATATTTAAAGCCAATCAAAAATTAACTTCACTAATTTTGATGCTAATTGAACCTAATTTAGTTAAAACAGCATCAATCGAATCAAAATTACTCAATTCAGCATGATTTGAATTAAACCAGGTCATCTTGAGGTATGTCAACGCAAATTGGCGCAATACCGATCTAAATCGACTCGATTCGAGTTCAATTTAACATCGGCAATTTCAATTAGCTCAAATCGACTTGATCAATTAAACCCAAATCCAATTCTAACAAATTTGATTCAACCCTATGTACCCAAAATCATTTCTCCAAATTCCCCTAAAAACTAGCTTCAATCTTATCCTTTCTCTAAATTATAATTTAATCCAAGCTTTCTATTTCAAAATTAAGAAAGGGGTAGAATGGTCTTTAGCTGGCAAAGAGAAGTTTCTAGGCTTGAAAGAAGAGGGAGTTAGGGCCGGTCTACCCCCCCCCCCCCCACCCCATGATTCTCCTCCTTTTCATTCGCAAGATCTCCTCCCCTTTTCATGCGACCCCAGAGACGGAACCCCTAGGCAAAACCCGTCTCCAACCCTATTCTCCATCCCGTCGCAAGCCCTAGCAATCCCCGTTTTCTCACACCGCCGTTCAACCCTACCCGTTGGCAAAATCAATAAGTTCTCCTCCGCCTTCCTCTTCTTCCATTTCTTCTTCACAATCTTCTTCTTCCTTTTCTATTTACAGAAATCGGAAAATTAAGATGTCTTCTTCTTGTTAAATATGAGGGTTTCTTTCTTTCTTTTGAAAATGCAAGTGTTGTAGTGCATTGGCATTGAATTCAAGAGGTTTTCTAAACTAATTTTTCTTCATTTAAGTTTTGGAATTGGCAAGTTCTCATCTCTTATTCTTGAGTTGTCTTCTTCAATTAATTTTATAATTATGGATTGAAGGGATGAAACTTAGCATTTTCTTCATTAAAAATTAAGAAGTTTCTTGAGCGTGCATAAATGGGAGCCTTAACAATGAATGATGCATTCATCAAATAATATGAATAAAGCAATACTTCTTGTAGCCACCAAACACCATATATATAAAGCATAAAAAAGAAACAAATACTAAATACCAAGTAAGCATCCAACATTCTCTTTAAAGCTAAAGCAACAAATAAAAAGAGCCTTGACAATGAATGATGCATTGATCAAATAATATGAATAAAGCAATACTTCTCGTAACCACCAAACACCACTTCATTTTCTCATTTCATCTCAATAATTATGCTAAATATCATTAAGAAAAACAGAAGTCGAAAAACTTCACATTAGTGCTAAATTTAATTCTATATATATATATATATATTCTCCCTCTTAACAAGGATTCATATCTCAAACAAAACGTTGGTAATCGACTTGATTATATTTACTTTGTCATGTAATATAGTAAGAGAAGAAAATCGGATGCGATATAATCTTGTTGTAATTACTCATTTTCCTATGTCATTAGTCATGTACTTTGCATTAAATGAGTAAGATACCAATGCACATAAACATAGACAGAGTTATTACTACAATATAGCACTATTTCATGTTATGTTAAAGAAATATTTAAGAGACTCATTCATTTATAAAGAGCCTAACCCCATTGGTTTATTTCACTTCATAAAATTGTTCTTGATATCTATACAAGAAGAATTAGATATTGACTTGCCTCATTTTTATGCATGCTTAAGAAACTTCTTAATTTTTAATCAAGAAAAGGCTAAGTTTCAACCCTTCAATCCTTAATTACAAAATTAATGAAGAAGACAAGTTAATAATAAGAGAGGAGAACTTTGCCAATTCCAAGCTTAAATGAAGAAAAATTAGTTTAGAAAATCTATTGAATTCAAGGCCAATGCATTACAACACTTGCATTTTAAAAATAAAGAAAGAAACCCTCATATTTAATAAGGAGAAGACATCATAATTTTTTTATTTCCGTAAAAAGAAAAGGAAAAAAGAAGATTGAGAAGAAGAAAAAGAAGAAGAGGAAGGAGGAGGAGAACTTACTGATTTTGCCAACGGGTACGGTTGAACGGCAATGTGAGAAAACAGGGATGGGGCTTGCGACGGGATAGAGAGCAGGGTCGGAGAGGGGTTTCGTCTCTGGGTCGCACGAATAGGGAGGTTTCGCGAATGAAAAAGGGATGAGATAGTATGAATGAAAAGGCGAGGAAATGGGGGGGGGGTTAGACCAGGGGGGGGGGGGGGGTTAGACCAGTCCTAACTCCCTCTCCTTACAAGCCCTAGAAACTTCTCTTTGCCGCTAAAGACCATTCTACCACTTTCTTGATTTTGAAATAGAAGGCTTGGATTAAATCATGATTTAGAGAGGGGATCTAAAGGCTAAGATTGAAGCTAAATTTTTATGAGAATTGGGAGAAATGTTTTTGGGTACATAAGGTTGAATCAAATTTATTAGAATTGGATTTGAGTTCAATTGATCGAGTCGATTTGAGCTAATCGAAGCTGACGACGTTAAATTGAACTCAAATCGAGTCGATTTAGATCGGTATTGTGTCGATTTGCGTCGACATTCCTTGAGACGATCTGGTTTAATTCAGATCATGTTGAATTGAGTAATTTTGAATGATTGATGTTGATTTAATTAAATTAGGTTATAGCATCAAAATTAGTGAAGTTAATTTTTATTGACTTCAAATAGCTCCGCTCAGTATCCACTTAATTCCAATTAACCAGAGATCGGCTATGTAAGGTCGATAGAACATATTGAGTTGAAATTGAACTCAAATCGAGCCCGCTTAATTCTAATGACGTTCGATTACACAATTATGCTTGAAATCAAATTGGATTTGGGTCAATCTAGGTTGGATTTAGGTTGAATTAAGAGGCTAAGTCAGTTTTATGTCAATAGGCATCCACCTAAAGGGAATCCTGCTAGTGGGCATGTCTACACTAGGCCACAAAGACCTAGGTACTATGATTAATTTTGAGAAATTTACCTCAAATAATGAGGTCAACACGTCTTTGAGTCCAACTGGGATTAACTTTGGTTTTTTGGTTCTTGGTTAATTGATACACACATCCATAAGAAATCATTTGGGAAAAAGTAGAATTGTGTCAATATTTTAAAAGAATTATTAATGAAAATTGAATTAATGAAAAATACGATATTCAAATTTTGATTTATTTGATAAAATTAAAAAAAAGTACAAAATTTCTCACGACTAATATTCAGGCTATTTGGATTATTTTCTTTAAAGAAGTTATCTTTTAGTGGTTAGTTTATTTTTAGGTTATTCTACTCTTCCAAGAATCAGTAAGTGTTAATTAGTATTCAAACACATAAAGATGATATCCTGACAGTTCAATCATACTTCCAATCTGTAAAGAGCCTCATAAATTCATCAAAAATAGCACCAAACAAATTCCACAACAATAATCAAGCAATCACTTCAAAAAATTAGAGAAAATGAATAAGGAGAAGAAAGCTCTTACTTACCTGTAAGATATATCAAGCACCAACCCTCTGAAACAGGCCAATTCATCCACACCAAATTCATCTTCATCCTCCTCCTCCTCCTCAACATCAGTATCATCAAAATCTTCCCTTTTTAACTTTTCCCCAACCTTAGAATTTCCTGCCTTCTTCCCCGCAGCAGAAACCCTAGCAAAACCTTGACGCCATCCGCTTCTGCCCTTACTCTTTACCCTAACCGGGTTCTTCAAGTTTCTTTCTCCACAAATCCTAAACCTAATTGTTTCCTTCGGCTCACCTCCAAAACAAGATATTTCCCCGTGAAGAAGCGGCCTCAATCCCCCATTTGCTGTGAATCTCGCCATTTCAACAAAGAAAAGCTCAAAAATGCTTCAAGGAAGAATTATGATCCCCTTACTGGAATATGGATTAATCGAAGTTGAGGTTTTTAATACGCAAAAAACGATTTTTCTTTGCTGCTTGGTAAAACTAAAAAAACAAAAACATTTGAATATTGAAAGCCAAGGAAGAATAGTATTCTGCAGTTGAGTGGAAGTGTTCATTTGTAGAGGGTAGAAACTGCCGAAGATTCTTGTCCACATGTTACTCCGCATGCTACTATGAATATCTCTCACTCCATTGCTTGATAGCCGAGCTTTCTTAAATTTTATTTATACTATTTTTATGGTTTCTACGGCAAATATATTGTTAGGAACCTTTATAACTTTATAACTAGAGAAATTATTCTTTGACTTATATTTAGACTTTAATTAAATTTATCAGAGTCTTTGTACACAGTCTGTGTGCAACTTTATATATTTGTGTTAATAATAAACACTTTATGTACATGCGACCTGATCAATTTTAATTGAAGTACGGACGCATTCAAATTCCACACAGAATTATTTCTCCTCTAATTAACATAAAATAGAAATGTATATTTTATGTGAAAGAGCTATTTAATTTTTTTTCTTTAATTTCAAATGGATTGCCAAACATCAAACTACATGTGTCCAATGAGCCACAGTTGAGCTTGCCAGTGATCTTTCGATCAAAGCATCCAAGGTACAAATTCAAGCCTCGGGATGTCAAATATAGTTGAGTTGATAAATTTATCAGCTCGTAAGCTCCATACGCATTTCTCTGATATACAAATGATATGTCATACTTATTTATCACCTTGAATTACAAATAAAGTCACAGTTGAAATTTTCTTAATAACTATATGATTTAAACTATGTTTGAAGGAGGTTTGAATAATTATATGATTTGGTCATGTTTGAATATGTATTCGAACATGACTGAATCATATTCAATAATAGCTCGAACAAGATCCAGATATTATTCACATACATGTTCTAACAAGGTTTGAGACACATTCTTTGATACACCATCTGGCTTTGTTTACAAGCCCATCAAATTAATTTCATGATAAATGATATTGATACATCATCCGAAAATTATCTTGATCCGGCACGAATCTCAAAACAAAATCAAGTTGGAAACTTTCGAAATTAAAATCAGGAGCATATGAACTCCGATTTTAGCAAACTTACAGTCGAATTGAACATCTCGGAAATACGAATCCAACGACACCAAATTCGACCCAATCCGAGTCTAAATGGGTCCAAATCAAGGACCCGAAGCGCTGTTGAAAGGTTCAAACCACAATTTGGATTACCAAACATAACAAACTTATAGTCAAATCGAGTGGATCGACGAGACGAATCCAACAAGCTCAAGATCACCGAATTCTGACATCACTAAGACATTCAAACGTCCATCAAACGGTTCATAATTAAGAGATTCAAGATCAACCGTCCATTCAACCACTCCCAACTTACCCTTGATCCTCCACCTATTTACGGGTCATGTCATTCCAAAAATCTATAAATAGAGTTCCCTCTCCTCTTGAAAGAGCACCCCTAAGCTTAAGGAAAAAAGAGAGAGATCAGAGATCGCTCTTGCTTCCTAGCCTCCTCGACCACCGCCGGACCACCGTCGGAGTTCTGCTGGACCACCACCTGTCGCCTGTGCTCCACCGGACCACGGCCTAACGCCGTCGCTCCGCCAGACCACCACCTGATGCCCTGTGCTCCACCGGATCACCGCCTAACGCCGTCGCTCCGTCGAACCACCACCTGACGTCCTGTGCTCCGCCGGACCACCACCTGAGGCCCTCACCTTCGCCGGACGCCTAAGGAAAAAAGAGAGAGATCGAAGATCGCTCTTGCTTCCTAGCCTCCTCAACCACCTCCAGAGTTTCGCCGGACCACCGCCGGAGTTCCGCCGGACCACCACCTGACGCCATGTGCTCCACCGGACCACCGCCTATAGCCGTCACTCCACCAGACCACCACCTGACACCCTGTGCTCCACCGGATCACCGCTTAACACCGTCGCTCTGTCGGACCACTACCTGACGTCCTGTGCTCTGCTGAATCACCACCTAAGGCCCTCTCCTTCGTCGGACGCCTTACGCTCCGCCAGACCTTCACCTGAAGCTCTCATATTTTCCAAGCCACTGTCGAAGACTCTCATCTTTGATAAGCCATCGTTGAAGATTCTCACCTTTATCAGACCTTCACCTAAGGCCTGGAGTTCTGTCAGACATTCATCTAAGGCCCGGAGTTATGCCATACCATCATCTAAGGCCCGGAGTTCTGCCTGATCATTATCTAAAACACGGAGTTATGTCAGATCATCATCTAAGGCCCAAATTCCTGCCAGATCATTACCCGACACCTGTACTTCTATTATACAATTGTTACTTGTAATTTGATTGCCCTCAGAGGCGAGTCAGCCCATTGTAACCAACTCAAGTTCTAGTGAAATCTTTTCAACTGGGCTAGGCCCTGTGGTTTTTCCCCTTTTAAGGGTTTTCTAAGTAAAAAAATCCTGTGTTCTCTTTGTGTGAGCTGGATATTCGTGCAACGCTAAGACGTAGTATTCTAACTCTATCGTCGCGTATATTCTAGCCCGCAACAGATATAAACATAAAGAAAATAGTATATATGTATGTTGAAGCTTTCGATAAATGAAGAAATTTTGAATTTTACCAACGCAATCCTTCTTAAGTGAAGAAATCTCAAATGAAAGTACGACAACGATGATAATGGAAAATTTTGAATTTGGAAGGACTAGACATAATTCTTCCTATACAACGGGATAGAAGAATAGTGATGGTATTTTGTTCTAAAATGAACATTCATATATATTTCTCAAAAAAAAAAAAACAATCAACAGGCATATTTCTCCAAATTTTACTTTCAAAACACACAACCTACCCTATTTGTGTCACACAACACATATATTATAATATATTATATATAATATATTATATTATATTTTTATATTTTTTACATTATATGGGAGTTTAATTTTTTTATCGATTTAAAGTGTGTGCTAGTTTATAATTGGACTTGAACATTGAATAAGAAGTAAGAAGATAGCTTACAGCTAAAGATTGTTGATGATGTTGAATATTAAAATATTTAAATATGATTGACCATAAACATTATACAATAATTTATAATTTTCTAGTAAATATTAATATTTTAATCCGGAAATTTTCCACCCATTGATAATTTTTTTTGAATATGGATTCTTGCTACATCAATAATAGATCGGTTTGTCAGCACAAATCTCTATGATATTTGAATTAAAAACTTAGTAGATATAATTAATGACCATCCCTTAACTCTAATTTTAACAAAGAGTATCAATTAATTGATTAGCTTTTGACAACCATATGATACCAAAAAAATATGATCTATGTTCAAACACACTAGTATCAGAGCTTAAGCTAGTTGGAGTTTTGAGAAATTCAATTGGGAGGAATAAATGATGATATTAAATTTAGTAAAATTTTTAATCATCGAGCATCTCGAAAAGGCAGAATCACGAGACAAGATTTGCTTATTTCCAATAAAATCATGATTTCAATGATTACAATCTAACTAGCTATTGAATACTAAATAATATAATATGGGTCATTTGATGAGAGTGTTTCAATTTTTTTCATATTTATGGGGCACTCATTTAGAATCTAATAATAGACCTACTCTTTAAACGAGAAGCATAGCCTTGAGATTCAAAAGGTTTAGGATTGAAGAATTTCGGAGTTATCCTGACCCATCGTTCAGCTATTGATATGGTCCAACTCACTTGCTCCTTCATTAGCTATCAATCGCCTACTCTATTGTGAATACTCACCAATACTTCATCGATCATAACCAATCGTTCAGAGTCATGCATGTACGCCCTGATCGCCATTGTCGGAAGCACGCCTTAACCACTCGATGGCTTCCATGCTCATTATTGTGTATTAATATATGATCATTATGATTTCATATAATGATGTCTTGCTCAACTATACTTTTGATAATATCATTGGTTATATATCATCTGAACTCCTTTACTCATATTAACCCATGCAATTTTTCTACTAGCTATCAATAATCTTGTAATATGTTGGGGATCAATGGTTTATGATTTTTGATGATGCAATATTTTTATTTCTCTAGATGTCTTATGTCTGACTTTCAGGTTCATCACGATTCGGACCTGCAATTTGGATCAGTGCTCAAGATTGGTTAGACTAGGTCCTGAGTCAGTTTGGTACACTTTTTCTTCTTGGTATATTGTATTTGTTTGTAGGCTCCTGAGAGCTTTGTAATGTTAGGTTTCTGACTGTTCGCTGAGTTACTGTTTTGGTGACTTCCTGGAACATATTTATAATGGCCGGTGAGATCTGTTCAACAGAGAAATCTAATTAGGGCACCTCATTAAACGAGCCGTCTTTATGCAAACACATCGTCTGGACGATTTTGTATGGTCAGGACCGATAGCGCTCATTCAGAAAGAATAGTCGTCAAATTACTTAGGATATCTTATTTGAATATCGGCTCTGGTTGGATGGCGGACTATAAAATGTGTACCAGGCAACGATCCAAGGAACAATTTTTCCCAAAATTTCTCAGGTAATTTTGAAAGAATTAAATGGTGATTTTCCGTCCGGGGCTGATCGCAAATCGTCCGGAACGATTAGACATCGTCCAGCTTCATCTTGGGCGATCATTCAGGACGATTTTCCTCATATTTGAGCTAATCGGCACAGGAACGATGATGTCTATCGTCCAGGACGATAAGTCGGCAACTTGCATTAATGAGCTATTTAGTCTTAATTTAAAGCTTTGACAAGCCCTTTGTAAAGTCTTTGACAGCATTTTAGTTGTTTCTTTGTGCGGACTTGAGGAAAAGCTTGAAAGGGAGAGAGGAAAGTGTGGAGTTTGAGAGGGAGAAGATCCTGTGAGGGGGGGGAACTCAAGGGAGTGTGGAGGGGATTCCACACGGTTGCTCCGACGAACTCGCACCTTAGTACCATCGGATTCAAGGCTTGTCTCGAGGTAAGTTCACCAAAGAAGAAGATCTCTTTGGTGTCAAAGGACCCGGCGACTCCGCCGCACCGGGGAAGGTGGAAGTGATTTTGTAAGGGCTTCTCCGCCTAACTGTGGGGGCTAAAGGAGAGACACTTATTTTAGTGCAATACTTGGAGGGTGCCTCCAAGGAGTGGACGTAGGTCAAGATTTGACCGAACCACTATAAATCCGGTGTGTTCTTTTCTTATTATTGCTTCCGTATTTTAATTTCCGCATCGTTGGTTTCTATGTGGTGAATCTTATTTTTGGATTTAAGATTATGTTTGTTTTAAATACTGATTCACCTCTCTATCTCTTTATTAGCCTTAGGCCAGTTCTATAGGGCTTAACATCCCTAACAAACTTTCTAGTGCCATAAGAGCACTTTCAATCATGTCACCTCCAAATTAAGGGACATACAAGCTTTTCTAATCAATGCTCATATAGTGGAATCAATTCAACTAAGCAAGCCATCGTGATTCTTTCCTTCTAGGTTTTTCATAAAAAAACTCTCATGTTACCATACTTTTTTCATTTATTTATTTATGTGATGAATCTTTATGTAAAATAATGACACAATACTCTCACTCTACCCCTACTAAATTTCTAGGCCGCAATAATTTTATATCAAAATTTTGGAACCTCATATTTTAATTATTTATAAAATATTCAACTAGTAAATAACAATAATATTCAACTTAGAAGTTCAAAATATAAAAACCAGTGAGGAGTCCAACTTATTAGGACATCTAAACTTTTTATTATAACCATTTGACCAAAATAAAAACATCAGAAATTAATTTATATTAAAATTAGGCAGTTAATAAAAAATCATATTAGTTAATAAAAATCAATTAGATCAGCCTCACTTTACAATTCCTGCACCTGCTGTATTGGTCATTGCTGCCCGTATACTTTTGTAATACATGTACAAAAATACCTCTCATAAAATGCTGCTTTTAAAAGCAACAAAAAAGCTATTACAAATAAAATCTAAAGTAACTAAGGCTTCGTTTGAAACGGCTTTCTTCCTGCTTCTTAAAGCGACTTTCTAGTACAAAATATTTAATTTTTTCCCATAAAGCCACTTTAAGAAGCAGTAAGAAAACCGTCCCAAACGAAGCCTAAGACTTGTTTGTGGCAACTTTCTTAATGCTTCTTAAAACAGCTTCTAAGAAAAAAAATAAAAAAATCATGTACTAAAAAATTACTTTAAAAAAAAAGTCATCCCAAAAAAAGCCTAAATTATATTCACAACAGTAAGTTCGCAACCAATTTTATAAAAAAATATGGAATCATAGGTCTTAAATTTTTGTTCACTTATGTTTTTTATATAATTTTATAATAGAAAAGCAACAATAAAAAGCATAGACTTATCAGATGAAATTTTTTGATAATTTTTTACTCTATTAAAAAAAAAATCTTCTAAAAAAAATATATATATTAGAAGATTCTGGCTGATGAAGCGAATTTCCTTTAATTCAAATTGAGCTTAAATGTTACCTGAGTACACCTAAAACAATCTTATTTTCTATATGGGTTAAAAAAATAAAAATCACAGGACTGAGTAGAATCCGGACATAGTTATATATCCAGACTCCAATTAAATAAAGACACATAACTTTAGCGTGACCCGAAAACCCGGCCCATTTGTGCACATTGCAGCTTGTACATAATGTATGTACAAGGAGAATTTATACACATTTTAGACCGAGCCGGATAGTCAGATCACGCTAGAAAAAATACACGTCTCCATTTAATTGAAAGTATGGACGACATAAATCTATGTCCGAACTCCACAGGTAATAATTTCTCTAATCACAGGGCAGAATAGAAGATCAAGGGAAATTAAAAAGGAACCAAGTTATAGAAGTTGCTGCAAGAAAAAATAGTAACAAGCTGGTCATTGAACACATTTTATTTAGCTCTATTTAGAATATTTGATCTTTGCAGAGGAACAAATTTTGCAGGCCATCTATCAGTTAACAAGTGGATACTGATCATGAAAAGCTCAAAATCCTGGTATGAAAAATAGCAAGTTTTGGGGAAAACAAAAAACTGCTGCAACAATATTCCTATTGTAGCATTCATCCCCATGCATATATACAGTTGAGAGCTTTGGGTGTTTGAGCTTCAGCTGGCTTTTAACCTTCTCAATTTGCTATCTGAAATGCAAAAGCCAAAAGGAGACATGTCAAGATATAGCTTCAGTAGTGCTATAACATAAGAGACATTTCATAGGTGGCATGGAAGTAGAAAGAGGAAGAAGAAGAGAACAAATATCTCTCATGTTCTCTAATTAGTTTTTCTATATACTCTAGTGAAATGTGAATATATTATTAATTTTTTGGTACTACACATAAAAGTCAAAACCAAAAAATATACTATCATACAACAACAACAACAACAACACCAAGGTTTCGTTTGAGACGGCTTTTTACTACTTCTTAAAGTAACTTTTTAGTTAAAAAAATTTTAATTTTTTACTAAAAGCTGTTTTAAGAAGCAATAAAAAAGTCATTCCAAATGAAGCCCAAGTCTACATCCCATTACATGGGGTCAACTACATGAATTTTTTTTTTCACATTTTCATATTAATAGTCAAATTTTCATCTAAATCTAATAAAAAGTAACATATTATTATAAGGAAAATATATTGAGATAATCTCAAGCCTGCTCAATCATATTTGGCCCAGCTCGAAATTAGCTTGAAGATCTGACTCAATGACAAATATTTTAGCTCGAGGCTTTGTTTGTGTGGTTCAATTAGAGCCAAAAATCCATTCAGTGTTGCCACATCTCATTTATAATATTTTCTAAGTCTTCTTAGGTCCACCTCTCCCTTTCTTAATATAAGCCAAATCAAATACATCTACTCTCCTAACTGGATATTGGAAGGCCGTAATTTTATATGGTCAAATCATCTAAGACGACTCTCTCTAATCTTATCTTCCATTGGAACTACTCCAATCTTTTCACGCATATGCTCATTTCGTATCATGTCTCCAGAGTAAAGCACCCATCCACCTGAGCATCCACATTCTCTACAACACTTAACTTAATATTATGTTTTTCTTTAAATGGCCAACATTCTGCACCATAAATTGCAAGTCTCACCACCATCTTATAGAATTTTCCTTATGTTTGAGGGGGACTTTTCTATCACACAATGAGCCCGATGCATTCCTCCACTTCAACCAACCAACTTGAATTCTACAAATAATATCCCCATCTATTTGACCATCACTCTGAACAATAGACCCAATATATCTAAAACATGTACTCTTATTAATAACTTGATTGCCCAAAATCACAATCTTCCACTAGATCTATTACTATCAAAATTATAATCCATATATTCAGTTTTAGATCTACTCAAATGAAAACCTTTAGACTCTAAAGTTAACCTCCATAATTCATGTTTAACTTCAACTCTCTCTCTAGTCTTATCAACAAGAAGAATATCATCAACAAAAAACATACCTCAGGGTGATTGTATTGTATTTTTAAATGTGGCCAATAAATGAGGATCTTCACATACCATTGCTGGGTTTTCCTGAATTCTGTCAGTACAGGATATATATTTTCAAATGCTGTGTAAGTCTCATCTCTCACCTGAAATTCAATAAGGAAATTAATTCAAAGCAAATCGTACAGATCAAACATATAATTTCCATTGAAGAATCTCACTACCTTTGCACCAGTAAGAACAATCTTGCCTGAAACAAAAATGAGAAGCACTATTTTTGGCTGCTTCATTCGATAAATCAGACCAGGGAACAATTCTGGTTCATACTGTTTATCAAATTAAAAACAACCTTTAAATCAGCCATTAAATGGAAAAATGACAAAAATATGAGATAAATAAAAAATTAGAATAAATGGTATTACAAAAAGCAAAAACGTATAGAAAATGAGCCAATGAAAAAATGAAATAAAGTAGCAGTCTGATGCACATAACTTACACTAGAAAAAGCACCATGTGAGTAAGCCAACCCTTCAAGCCTTATGGGAAACTTCACATCACAAGAACCAACAATATTTTGAATCTTAAAATCCTAGAAGGTATAAGGAATGAGAAATTAGGAAATAAAGAGTTGATAAAACAAAAAAAAAAACAAGAATTCTAGCATTAATAACAGAAATTACCTTGAATTTGGCAGGGAAGCCAAGTTTCTGAATAATACGAGCATACTGTAATCAATAGATGTGATAAATAATCAATGGTAAGCTCGTAGAAGTTAATTGCATTACACACTATTATGCATAAACCATGAAGCTGAAAAGAGCCAAGTACCTTCCGAGCAGCAAGCTTGGACTGCATTTCACTCTTAGCTCCAGTGCACACCTGAGTAAAGGTTAAAGCGTGCAAGAATCTATAATGCAGCCAAAAACAGGAAAAAAAAAAACTCTAAAGACAATAATTATAATCAATAAGAGTAAAAAACCATTCTGAAGTATTTTAGGTTCAAATGCCACATAGAACGAATATTACACATTTCATTAAGATAATTGAGCATAAAATTTCAGTATTTAAATATAAAACAGAAGAACAAATATGCGACAAAAATACATATTTAAGTATCATATTTATCTTAACTTGGACTAGTTTTCTGTAAGACTACTAGTAAGAATTATCCACATATATATATGTTGCGTCCAGGAGTATTCGCGGCAGTAGAGAAATATAAAGTTTATCGTCTTAGCGTTGTACAAAAATCCGGCATGCAATCAGATAAGAGAGAGGGTCTAGCATTTATGAGACACCAAGATTTTTACGTGGAAAACCCCTGAAAAGGGGGAAAAACCAAGGGACAAAGCCCAGTTTGAATGAATCCACTAGTTTTGCAGTCGATTACAAATGAGGCTCTTCCTTGGGAGAAGGCCTTAGGTTGATGTACATTTTATAGAGTACATTACATGATGTGAATACAAAGAATCATTATTGACATGTTCGTTTGATCTGGAGAACCGTAGTCGGCGGGCGACGGAGGTCAGAAGGCTTGTAGTCGGTGGACGACATAAGTCAGGAGGACCGTAGTCGGCTGGCAACGGAGGTCGGAAGGATTGTAGTTGGCGGGCGATGTAAGTCAGGAGGACCGTAGTCGGTGGGCGACAGAGGTCGGAAAGACTGTAGTTGGCGGGCGACGTAAGTCAGGAGGACCGTAGTCAGCGGGCGACAGAGGTCGGAAAGACTGTAGTCGGCGGGCGACATAAGTCAGGAGGACCGTAGTCGGCGGGCGACGGAGGTCAGAAAGACTGTAGTCGGTGGGCGACGTAAGTCAGAAGGACCGTAGTCGGCGGGCGACATAAGTCAGGAGGATCGTGGTCGGCTGGCGACGGAGGTCAGAAGGACAGTTGCCTTGCGACGGAGGCTGGAAGGACTGTGTCTAACGATGAAGGTCAAAAGGACGGCGAGAGGCGGGAAGAACTCCGGCGGGGGTCGAGGAGGAGCTAATTCTCCTTCCCCTTCTCTTCTTTTTCCCTTCTTCTTCTTGCTTGCTGCTCCCCCGTTGTGAAGAATGAGGACTCTATTTATAATTTTTCTGGAGTGGCATGGCTTATAAATAGGTGTGAGAACATGGGCAAATAGGGAGTGGTCGAATGGACGGCTGATATTGAATCCTTCGATCGTGCACCGTTTGATGGACATTTGAAGGCTTAGTGATCTCGGAATTCATTGATCTTAGGCTCGTTGGATTCGTCTTGTCGAGCCGCTCGATTCGACTATAAGCTTGTCAAAATCGGAGACCGTTTGACAACTCAAATTGTGGTACGAACTTTCAATAGCGCTTTGGGTGCTCGATTTGGGCTCAGATTGAGTTGAATTTGGTGTCGTTGGGTTCGTATTTCCGAGACGCTCAGTTTGACTGTAAGCTCGCTGAAATCGGAGTTCGAGTGCTCCCAAATTTAATTTTTGAAGTTTTCAACTTGATTTTTGCCTCGAGATTCGTGCCCGATCAAGATACTTTTTGTGTGACGTATCAATATATATGAAAATAAATTTGGATGAGCATATATTTTGACCAAAATGTAGCTAGGATGGGTATTACAACCTTTGATGTTATTTTTAGATGAGTGTAATAAGTAGGTAATTTATATTGCATTCATCTCAAGAGCTTTTAGGACCCATCTTGATCAATTTTTAATGATAATATCCCAATACAATTTTTTTTCTAAGTATGCAAATGTGCAAGCACCTCTGTCTGAATAAGAAAGTTTTCCATTTGTGTACATTTACCATTTATGAAATTTCCATGAGATTAAGAAGCAGGCCATTAATTAATAAGATTAATAGTCATGGGACTAGATTAAATGCATTGAATTCATTGTGCATCATTTCTAGAAAGTGATGCAGAAATTTCAATGAAATAAGCAAATAAGATAAATCGTCAGCTCATCTAATAAATGGAAGATTACAAATTGAGCAAAATTAATCGTTTATAAAAAACTCACCATTTTTCCTGATGCAAAGATCAGTGCAGTGGTTTTAGGTTCTCTAATTCTCATTATAACTGCTGCAAAACGCTAGAAAATGAATACAAAAAGAGCGCCATCAGGAAACAAGATAAAAATCCCTGAAAGTATTCTCTAGAATAAACAAATTTTAATCTGGTAAACGAATAATACAAGCTAATAACCTGAAAATATAACTAAAGAAACCACTTGATTAAGAAAGAGAAAAGAAACAAAAGGGGTAACTACCTATAAAATAGATTCCGATCAAACAAGCACATATCAAGTTAAAAAATCACCTTGATCCTTTCATTAAATATGCGCATGCATGCATACATAATATATGCAAGCATGCATGCCCCTACAAAATCAACAGCCAATTTGACAACTTTGCAGGGCGTTCATGAAAGGAAAAGCTTAACAAGTGGGTTTTGGAAAGTAAAAGTCTTTAGACCAAACCAACCAATAAAAGCTCAATTACATGTGCCTATTCCTCCTCTCCTATTTTAGAGCCATTAATAGAAACAAAGTACTTCACATTCCCACCAAATTAAGGTTTCATTTGACATATGTTTTTTATTGCTTTTGTGATACCAAAAACATCCAATAGAAATTAGTTTTATTTGAATGACAGCTCTATCACTACTTTTTTCAAAATTTTGCCTTTAAAAAGCTACTTTTGAGAAAGCATAATAGAAACTACAACAACAACAAGATCAAGCTTTTGAATCTTTTTTCGACATTGCGTCCTGTTAAAAGTCAAATTCTCATTTAAATTTAATAAAGAAAGATCATTTCTAATATTTTCTAACCAAGTCTTTTTAGGTCTACCCTACATTTCTTAATATAAGTCAAATCTAATACCTCAACTTTCCTAACCGGATCATCGGAAGGATTTAATGTGACCAAACCATCTAAGGCAACTCTCTCTAATCTTATATTCTACTGGAGCTACTCCAACCTTTTCACATATATGCTCATTTTGATGATTGATAAAATAAAATTTAAAACAAAAGAGAAAAAGATAAACCCATAAGAATGGCTAAGCCATATACTCCAAAGGGATCCCCCTTCATGTTATTAAAACATAGCTACATTCCACTCTTCAACTAGAACACATGCATGTGTGCCGTGTGCATGCATGTAAATAACCAAACAATACTACATGTATAATCATTCTATAAACCTTGCATGACCCCTAAATTAAAACCAAATCTACGATTTATAAAATGATACTCCACATCTCCATTTATGTTAATAGAACAAAGAAAGCTACATCCGACACATAAAAACATTTGTTTTTATAGATGCACGCAAATCACAAAACAAGAGCTGTAGCCATACCTTGGGGTTGTACTCAGCATTTCTGGCTTGCAAGGCAATTGCTTTAAGATCCAGCTTGCAATCCAAGTTAACAGTTGAAACAATATTCCTGGAGTTCAATCAACAGCCAAAGTGCTGTCATTTTCAGTTCAGTGTGACTAAGCACTCCCTGTATAATTTTCCATACTTATATTGGCTTTCTAAAATAGAAGCCTGAATACAACTGCTTTTTTTTTTAAATATAAATCACAGAATGCTGCTATCATTCAACAAGCTCTTTTTCTATTTCAAAATTAAAAACTTTATTTTCTACTCTACAAGACTATTCAACAGTCTATGACCGTATGAACAACCACAATGATAGCATGGTAGCAAATAAAGCATCGAAAAAACGCTGATAAAGCTTAAAAACAAGAAAGATAGACCTATGAGGAGGAAAAACATCCAAACTTGACTGAAAAAAAAAACATCTAAGAAAACATTTTGCTGAAGCCTACAGCTAGATAAAGTCACAACCGAGCATAAAATAAATGAAATGAATGATCTGTTCAATACCAGACATTCATCCGATAAACACATCTAGGTTTTCCAGAACAAACCGAACGAAACAAACAAAAGAAAACAAGAAGAATGATGAATGGATTTAGGGGATGTTTGGTATCGAATTGGATTTAATTTTAGTGGGACTTAATAAATCTTGTAAATCCGGATTTAGTAAATATGGAAGGTGTTAAATCTCAAAAACTTTTTGGTATGACATATGTTAAATCCTGAGAAACTGTTTAACAACATAATCCAAGATTTAAAGCAGTTAGTTGTTTTGAATTTAATTTGCTAGTTAATAATGATTTACTTATCAACTTTAATTTTAATTACATTTAATAAGGGTAGGGTTAATTAATATAATTATAAATTAGATTAATTATTATTAATTATCAAATTAAATATTTAGGTGTTAATTATCAAATTAGAAATTAGTTTAACTAAATCCTAATTAATTAAATATTTAAGTATTAAACTAATTTAATAATAATAAGGGGAATTTATGTGCATACCACTTTATTTCATGCTATTTACATTTCTAACCTCTAAAACTTTAAAATTAGATGTCTATCACCTATAGAATAAATATGAGAGCATATAATGAAATATTAAAGTTTATAGGATGATATGAGTGATAAGAATAAAATATAGAAGTGATATTAAAATTTTATATGAGTGGTAAGAATATAATATTAAAGTTTTGGGTGTGTTGTTAGATATGTAAATAGCATGAAATAAAGTGATATGTATGTAAATCCCCCTAATAATAATAGTACTAATAAATATAATAACCAACAAATTATAAATATGAATTAAATTAATTTAATGATAATTATACTATTACTTATCATATTAATTAAACAATTAAAGTATTATCTAATTAAAAAATTAGAATTAATCCTATAACACTTTCCTCTTCCTGTTTTTCTCAAAAAGCCCTCTTTCTATTTCTTCGTAGCTTTTCGCTCGAGGTAAAGGCATCGATGGTTTGCATGAGTTAGAGGCTTTGCTGGTTCGTGTGAGGTAAAGGCTTCATTGGTTCATGTGAGGTCGAACGAGTCGCTTACCATTGCCTGTCTAGGGTTTGCTTTTCCTCTTTTGTATTTCTTCATTATTATTTTGCTTCGCATGAAGTTGAGTTCTGCAATTATCAAAGCATCTCTGACTCCTCCAAAGACGTTGTTCATGTCGGATCGGAAGTTACAACAGAAGTTCGCCGCGAAGGGAACGCTATTTCTTCCCTTTCGCAAAGGTAACGATACTTCTTCAACTAAATCCGAGTCCGTAAATCCGTAAATCCACCGAACGATGGTTAACATAAATCATAAATCCGATAACAAACAGCCCCTTAGGGTTTTCTACAGGTTTTCCAAGAGCTGTGAAAATTATAATTACGGTCCTTGTATTGCAGCTTATTCCTCCGAACCAACAATTAATCCAATAAAAAGGAATAGGAGCAAACTTACTGCAACGTGGGGACAATACCAGAAGGATGCCTGGCTAGATCAACCGGCTGACTCCCCTCCAAGCCCTCTGCCATATTCTAAGATCGTCACGAACTCTTTTTAAACCTTATTTCCTCTAACTCGAATACAACAAACGCTCTCCAAAGACCGATCTTTTTAGCGAGAGATGAACAATGATTAATATATGAGAACAGATCCGACAAAAAGGGAGATCTTGAAACGATCGAGATCAAAAGGCTCAAAGAAGAAACAAAACGTAATTTTTCGATGGGTTCGCAGCAAAGTTGGATAGATCTAGGCGAGATTGAAACTAAGGTCGAAAGCAGAGGAGACGGACAGTGATTTCTGCCGATTCAATGAGCGATTCGACGATCAGAAGCAAAAAAAGTTGGATTTTGGCGGGGAAATGAGGAGTCCGTAGGATTTATACAAGGGAGGATTTGAAAACGGAGCCTTTTATAGGTATGGAATGGGATTTGGAGGTAGATATAGATGTTTTCGTCTTAGGGTTTCATTGCGATATTGAGAGAGAGAAATGGAGAGGAGAAAGTCGGGAGTCGATCTTATGCGAGAGAAAGCGGTTTTGTTACCTCCAACTTGACTTTTTTAAGAAATTACCGGCTAGGACAGGTTGCAGCCGGTGACTAACAATTGAAATTTTTTTTCTCATTTATAATGTATTATTATTAAAATATATCTTCATAGCGTACCAACAAGAAATCTCAATCTTTATTTTAAAAAATATTGATGTTTCTTAAGAAAATTAATTTTATTTATATTTATCTTATTTTTTAAAGAAGATAGTTATTGATTTACATATTATTATCAAGTAGCCCAAAATAGTATTATTTAAATAATTATTTTGCATTATTTTTAATGTTTGACACTGAGTAGAGCAAAGAACTTTCTTTTTTTTTTTTCAAAAATATATAAAATATGATATTTATAATTCTTAGGAGATATTTGATATGCCAAAAAAAGATGAAAACTAAAATAAAATATGTTGTAATGTAATTGAAATGTACGGAGTTCTTTAGATGTGTGTAAAATAAGCGTGTATAATTATTTTTTTCAATTAATTTAAAGTAAAATTAATGTAGTGTAAAGTTCAATAATAATGATAGCTGGTGTCCAACAGTGGTGGGAAATAATAGGTGGTGATAAAAATCGGTAGTGAGCCAATGACGATTAATGACGTGCGGGTAGGGGGGTGGGGGTTTGTTGATTTCGTATAGGTTGTTAAACCTAACCTATTGTCACAAGGTTAACCAAGAGGGGGGTTAATTGGTAATTAAAAATTTTCTCTTTGATTTTTAATAAAAAAATCATTTTATAACTTTCCAACTTTGATTATCGTTTGAAATGAGCTTTTCAATCTTGATAACAAAATTGCAGAAAAATAAAAGTGTAGAAAATTAAAATGAACACAAAGATTTATAGTGGTTTGGTCCAACAAGACCTACGTTTACTCCCTGAAGACTCCCTCTTCAGGTATTGCACTATTACCAAAAGTGACTCTTCTTTAGCACCCACAGCAAGGCGAAAAAGCCTTTACAGATTCCTTCTCTTCTACCTATCTCCGGTGCGGCAGAGTACCGTCGTCCTTTCATAGTACCCTCCAAGTGTTGGCAGAGTAACGTCATCCTTTCACACTCTCCAAGTGTCGACAAAGTACCGTCATTTGTTCACACCCTCCAAGTGTTGGCAAAGTACCGTCGTCATTTCAAGGATCTTCTCTCAAGCAACTAGAAAGAAGAAAAGATGAGTTGTAACAAAAAACATAAAGATATCCTTACTTTTGAGTAAACTTATGAACCCTTCACACTTCTCTTGCAAAAAATCTCTCTTGAACACTCTCCCAAATATACTCTTTCACTTGCTCTTGAAAAATCTCGAAGAAGAATTCTTTTTACGTTAGTTTTAAAGGACCTTTCACTACAGGAAAAACAACAATTACAGGCGGTCATGACCGGCGATTTTAGGACCGCCGGTATTACCAGCGGTTTTCCGGCGGCCAAACCGCCGGCGTAATATCGGTGGCTACTCTGGCGGCTTTGAAACATTACGCCGCCGGAAATAGAGACAGTCATGTAGCCGCCGGCTAATGATTTTAATGGCGGTTTACCGGTGGCGTAGACCGCCGCTGATAAGTAATGCTATTACCGGCAGTCAGACCGCCGGAAGACCACCGGTAAATGCCCTAAAATAATCAGGCCCGAGCCTCGCATTTCATTTCTATTCATTCCTTCTCTCTCTACGGACGAGTTCTGCCGTCGCCTCCACCCGCTTCTCGGTCGATCGATCGTTTTGCCGCCGCCGACCGCCGACAAACTTTGTCCGACCGCTGACCCCACACTAGCCGCCTATCACGCCGCCGGTGCTCTGCTATCTTGCCGCCGTCGATCTCACACCGGCTGCCCTAGTTTTTGTTTGAGGTGAAGAAACACCAGATTTTTAAGTGCTAGATCATTTTTATTTCCTTTGTCATAGGTTTCAAGGTCTTTCATGCATGAAAAAGTGTCTTCCATGCTCTCTCACTCTTCTCAAACTTCAAGAATATAATTTTTTGAGTTCTTTTCAATTATGTTATATTAACTCTTTAAATATTGTGCAAAATTGTGAAGTAACTTTTTCTTGGATTCAAATTTTGATACTCTTCTTGTTAGTTTGATATTTTATCATAATCATATCCTTCATGTAGTTAAATAAAAGTTTATTTGAACCTTGTGATCTCTTGCTATTGACATCATTCTTGTGTTGATTCAAACTTTGTTTGAAATCTTTTATGTATCTCCTCTTGCAAAACATCTTTAGCTATTGTTCATGTGTTGCTAACTTGTGTTTGAATTTTCATATACTTTTGCTAAACTCATATGTTAGATTATATTTCTTGCAAGTTTAGTTTGTCATTTCATTTGCATTGATATTTAAAATGCATAATCTAAAGAAATTATACTACGAGGAATCAAATTTAAGGTTTGAGAAAGGTTACCAATTAATTTAAGGTTTGAGATATAACACGTTTGCACATGTGTTCTAATAAATATTTTCATAACTATGTAGGGGGACGTTTGCTTCAACATCTAAATGACTATCCAAGAAGAGAGATATTGGATGTATAACACATTGTTGTCGGGTCGAAAAGGATTGACAGTTGAATTTATACAGGGAGTTGAAACTTTCATTCAAGTTGCATCTCAACTATCTTCCTTTTAGTTTGATAAAATGTTTAGATGTCCATGTTCGAAGCATAAAAATCTAGCATTCCTGAAGCCCGATGATGTGAAGCTTGATTTATATCGTAGGGGATTTGTTCCAAATTACTGGATTTGGACATCACATGGCGAGTACGAGTCACATAGAGATGATTATGCCGGTTCATCTACAGCTTATGAAACATTTGATGAAGATCAAATGAGAAGACCCTATGAAGACCTTATTTTTGATGCAGCAGGTCATAATTTAAGGTCTAGTGTAGAAGAGCCACCAAATGCAGAAACACAAAAATTCTTTGAGTTATTACATTCAGCTCAAAAGTCAATTTGGGATGGTTGCAGTACACATTCAGAATTATCCATTTCAGTGAGGATGCTAAGTATTAAAAATGAGTATAATATACCCCGTGATTATTTTAATGACTTTATTGGTCTTATGAAAGAAACTAATCCAGCGTGCAATTTAATTCCCTCAGAATTGTACTGAACGAAGAAATTAGTATCCAAGTTGGGTCTCACTGCTACAAAAATTGATTGTTGTATCAATGGATGTATGTTATACTATAAGGATGATGCAGCAGAAATTATTTATCGCACCTGCAATGCTCCTCGGTTTAAGTCAAACTCAGGAAAACAACGTCGTCTAAAAAAAGATGTGTCATATTCTCATTTATTTTATTTACCAATCATTCCAAGACTTCAGCGACTCTATGCATCAATGAGTTCAGTAGGTCATGTGAGATGGCATAAGGAGAAAATAGCAAAAAGTGATGTTCTTTCTCATCCATCAGATGCTGAAGCGTGGAAACATTTTGATCAAGTGAATGCTACATTTGCTGCTAAGCCCCATAACATAAGATTGGGATTATGTGCTGATGGTTTTACACCCTATAGTCAAACAGCTACACCGTACTCTTGTTGGCCAGTTATATTAACACCATACAACCTTCCACTAGAGATGTGTATGACTACTCCGTACATGTTCTTAACTCTTATAATACATGGACCACATAATTCGAAAGCAAAAATTGATATTTTTTTTCAACCATTAATTAATGACCTAAAGTTATTATGGAAAGAAAGAGTGCTCACATATGATATATCAACAAAATAAAATTTTCTCCTTCGAGCTGCATTGTTGTGGACCATTGGTGATTTTCCAGCCTATGGTATGTTGTCTGCTTGGAGCACAGCAGAAAAATTAGCATGTCCTTACTGCATGGAGAATAATAAAGCTTTCACATTAAAACATGGAGGGAAAAATAACTTGGTTTGATTGTCATCGTATGTTTCTATATGCTAATCATCAGTTTCAGAAAAATAAGGAAGCATTTGTTAAAAATAGAATTGAACGGTCACCTCCTCCACCCAGATTAAGTGGTGATGATATACTATAGAGACTTTTCGACATTCCAATAATTATTAATTTTCCAATGCTGTCAGAGTCTAAATTTCCGGGTTATGGTGTTGAACATAATTGGATTAAAAAAAGGTATTTTCTGGACATTACCATATTGGAAAACTAATTTGATAAGACATAATCTGGATGTTATGCACATTGAGAAGAACTTCCTGGACAATATTTTTAATACAATTATGGATGTTAAAGGTAAGAGCAAATACAATGTCAAAGCAAGGATGGACATTAAAGAGTACTGCCGGCAATAAAATCTGGAATTAATAACAACACTCGACGGTAAAATAATGAAGTCCAAAGCTCCGTACTCTTTCACGTTAGATCAGAAAAGATCGATACGTCAGTGATTTAAAGGTTTAAAGATGCCTGATGACTATAGATCAAATATAAGCCGATGTGTTGACATGAAATCTGCAAGGTTATTTGGACTCAAAAGTCATGATTGTCACATAATTATGGAGGTTCTTCTTCCGATTATAGTCTGTATGTTACCCGATTACATATCAAATCCATTGACTGAGCTTAGCATTTTCTTCAAAGATTTATGTTCATCTAAACTAAGCGAAGATGCTTTATGGAGGTACGAGGATAACATATCAATCATCCTCTGCAAGTTAGAAAAGATATTTCCCCCGGGTTTCTTTGATTCCATGGAACATCTTCCAATTCATCTACCTTACGAAGCTAGAGTTGGTAGACCTGTACAATATCGTTGGATGTATCCCTTCGAAAGGTAAATGGGTTCTGATTTTTATTAAGTCTTCAATATTTTTGAATAAGTTGAGATAACATATTTTTATTAACTTAATGATTGTAATTGTTTAATAGATATTTGAACAAGTTGAAGAAATATGTTAAGAATAAAGCACGACCAGAATGATCAATATGTGAAGGAAGAAAAACTGAAAATTATGGAGTATGTGTTAGAGGGAATACTCATGAAGAAGATGAGTGTGATTATTACAGTATTCTGAATGAAGTTCTTGAGTTGGAATATCCAGGCGAAGATGAGAATTTTGTATGCTTGTTTAACTGTCAATGGTATGATCCAGTACAGAATAGAGGCACAAGGGTTCATCCTGCGTATGGTTTAATAGATGTAAAACATAGTAGAATATATGAAAATTTTGATCCATTTGTGTTAGCAAGTCAAGCTATTCAAGTTTATTTTAGCAAATATCCGAGTGGTCGTAGAGACAAACAAGATTGGCTAGCTGTCATAAAAACAAAAGCACGGGGAATAATTGATCAACAATACATTGTAGCAACTGCACATCAAGAGGATGAGATGTCAAGTTGTAAGCCTGTTGAAATTGAGGAGATGCCAAGTACAACCTCTAGTGTTGAAATGGAATTTGAAGATGTGAATAGTTCAACTAGTTCAGACGAAGATGAGAACGAGGATGAAAGTGAAGATACCCTTGAGAGCAATGAAAATAGTTTTGATGATTCTGAGTAGTTTTTGTTATTTAGAATTGTAGAATTTTACTGTTTTGTAATATTTTGAATAGTACTTTCTGATTTCTAAAAAATAAAACTGTTAATTTTTAACTTGTATTTATTAACTTCTTTATTAACTGTTTTTTATAATTTAGTAACTATTTTATTAACTATTTTTTGTAATTCATTAACTGCTTTATTAGCTATTTTTTGTAATTCATTAATTGCTTGATTAACTGTTTTATTAACTGCTTCTTTTATTTGTCCTTTTTATATATTACAATGATTTACTAATTTGTTTCTTTTAAAGCAGATGGCTTCAGGCGATGATCCTCCTCGGAAATCATTTGCCTCAAAGTTCCGCCGGAAGAAGTTTATTGTTACTCCGGCCAGCAGAGCCACACAGCTAGAAGGTAAGGGACCTTCAGTTCCACCTGCTGTTGTACCTACACCAACGCCCAGGGGCCAGCAGCAATCCCCTATTGAGCAGGGTCAGGGACCTTCAGATTCACCTGCAGTACCTCCATACTTCTCTGGCCACTTCCCTCCTCCTCCCTCGGCGAGTCCTCACTACCCATCTCCAGATCAGACACATGCCTCTCCATTTTATCCATATTACCCTCCACCATCATCACAAGCAGCTAGTCCATCCACTGCTCCTCCCCCTCCTTACCCCTACCCATATTACTACCCCTATTCGTTGCATCATGAACATGGTGGACCATCTAGACCACCAGAGGTTGGCACTAGTGAGCATGCAGCTGCAACAGATAAGCGTCAATACATTGAGCCTGAGGGCGATAAGTAAGTTCAGTTTATGGTATTAAGTTGTTTGTATTTTAATATATCACATGTTATTGACAAAAAAAGTAACCTGCAGCTTCAATCCTTTAAGGCCACCTATACATATGATCAGGAATATAAAAAGAATAAATATGATGCTCCATACTTATCCTAGAAGAAGATCCCAAAGCCAGTTAGAGATATGTGGTTTGGAGAATTTCAGGTATGTTTATTTGGTATGATTTCAAATATGTCATTTAACTTGCACTAATCTTTTTGGTATTGTTTAAATTTTTACAGAAAGAATTTAGGTGGTTGCCTGAGCACTACACAAGGATTAGAACCAATTTTGAGAGGAGATGAGCGACCCGTCTCATGGACATGTTCAGGACATTAGAAAGTCCGGGCAGTGTCCTCATTGGATTGGAGAGGGCGTTTGGGCTGATTTGAGTAGTGCTTGGGCGACCCCTGAGTTTATAAAAATGAGAGAGCAGAATAAACAGAACATAGCCTCTGACTGTGGTGGTTTAGGAAGCTCTCTTCATACTGGTGGATCGGTACCTCATACGGAACATAGGCGGCGACTGGTAAGAGTTTTAAATTAGTTTATTAAATATATTTATGTTCTTATAAATATATCTTAAATTTTCAGAAAGAGTACCTTGGTCGGGAGCCAACACCACTGGAGTTACATACAAGAACTCATTAACATCAAGCTGATCATCAGCGGGTTGATGAGAAGGCTAAGAAGGCTCATGTGAGTAAATTTTTTTGGAAAATTGGAATAAATATTTATTTTAATAAAACTAATTGTAATATAAATTTACAATTTATTTTCTGGCTTTATTCTCGCAGGATGATTTTGTACGAGCTCGAGAAAGCCACCAGTCCACTGGCGAGGGGTCATCTTCAGGATCAGCTCACACTTTTGAGTATCATACTTGGTCTGATGTTGTTGATGGAAGACAGAGGGGGCAGATATATGGCTTAGGTTTGCAGGGCTATGCTTATGAGAGCAGTTCATCTACCTCAGCATTTTATGATCCAAGTGGAGCTGAAGAAACTGTGAGTTAGAGGGTTGCAGCATTGACTAGAGAGATTGAAGAAATGAGAAGGGTTCAAAATGAAATGCAAGCTGAGCTGCAATCCTACAGAACGCCGACGGCATCCGGCGGTCTTCCGATGAAAGACCGACGGGCTTGACCGCTGGTCGTACCGGCGGCCGGCACTGCCGGTCGCCGTCGGTATATTACCGGGGGTGTACCGACGCTTTGCCGGCGGTGTATCGGGCGTTTGCCGGCCGCCGTAGTCGCCGGTAAGCCGTCGGTGACAAGACCGTCAGTGAACCGTCGGTAAAATCACCGGCGGCCCAACCGCCGGCAAACCGCTGGGACCCAGAAGTGAATAAATCGGCGGTCCAAGCCACTAGTAAACCGCCGGTTAAATAAGCTGCCGGTAAAAACCGCCGGTACAATTTTTCCTACGACCATTTTTCCGGCTGCCAGTAAATCGCCGGAGAGCCGCCGGTAATTCTAAAAACCGCCAGTATAGCCATATTAATTGCCGGAAAAAGCCTTCGGTATTGGTTGTTTTTTCTGTAGTGTTTTATATGAAATATATGAAAAAACGTCCAGAAAATTGAAATTTTTCATTTTGGATCGTGTACGATCATAAGTTCGTACGTACGAATAGTTCAAAAATTGCTGCGTATGAACCTTTTGTGAATCTATACGAAATTTTTTGGAATATTTATGTCCACTTTTCTACAATTCATAGATTTTTGTATATGGCATATTATACAAGTTGGATTTTGTTTTACAGTTTAGAATTTTAAATGGAGTTAAAATAGAGATTCTTTTTTTAAAATTATTCATAAAAGATTATGTTTAGTACAATTAAATACAAAATATAATAACTTCTTTTTATGTGCTTTAAAAATTAAGGATTATATGCGAGTTTCTACTTGTACTGGTGGGAAAAAATTTTGTGATCGACTTTGCATAACTTATGAAGGTCATAGTAAATAAAATAGTCTCTCATGAATTTACTTTTTACATGAATATGAACTATTTGCATGCAATCTAGTGAATCAATTTTTGATAAGTATATTAAATTTATAAAAATTATCACATCATTATATTTTGTGGGTAAAGATATTTTTTACTCTAAAAATTTAACAAAATTTTACATTGTTTTCCTAAATCTTGTGATGTCAAGGTTATTGTCATTTTTAAATCTAAGGATTTGAATTATTACTCTATTGATAATTTACTTAGATCTTTGATTACCTATGAGCAAAAGTTTAGTCAAAGAAATATAGTTGCAGGTGAATATAAAAAGGAGAAGATAATATCCCTCAAAGCTAACAATATGGATAGCAAAGAATCTAGTTCAGAAGGAAACAAAGATATCACAGTGATGCTCAAATAATTAAAAATATTCCTAAAACACAAGTATAAGCACCCTAATGACAAACAATAAGGTAAGAACTCAAAGTTATATAATTTTACCACTAACATTATTTGTTATAAATGCAAAAAAGTCAGGTCATATCTTATATGAATGTCCCAGCTTAAAGAACCACCTAGTGATGGAAAAGGGTGAGAAGAAAAGCAACGTAAAAATGGCAAACCAACATTTTAGAAGGCTTTTTTAGTACATTCTAATTCAGATTCATCAGAGATAGAAGAATTAATTGTTTTATGTCTCATGGATAAAAATAGCTCTGGTGATGAAAAGCAACGTAATCATGTATGTGATGATGCTTATAAAAAAATTAATCATGTATGTGATAGCTCCTATGATAAATTAAGCTCTTTTTCAAAGCAACTGTATGACGCTTATAAAAAAATTAAAAAAACAACATTCACATCTTAAAAGTGAGCATTCAATATTGTAAGAAGAGCATACCAATTCGATTAATAATTATTCAAACTTAAGAACTGATCATATTACATTAGATAAAAAGTATGAGTCCTTAAACAAAGAGCTTATTGAATTATAAGAGATGTATGAGTACCTAAATAAAGAGCATATTGAATTAGAGGAAACATTTAAAGAACAAGAAGTGTTAGCTTTAAAAATGGGTAGTGATGATTATAAAATATTAGTACAATTAGGCATATATAAGAGTACAAATGAAAGTTTAATTAATAAAATAAAAGCACTTAAAGAAAATGTATTAGGGCTTAAAAGCCACACCTTAGAACACAACATGCACCACTATCTTTCAAAAGTAGATATCACTCTTCATATAGATTAGTGCATCCATTTTAAAGGATTAAACATTATTCTTGTGGCATATTGCAAGCATTTGCATACAAAGAATCCACCATAATCACATAGAGTCTAGAGGCCCAAGACATCATCTGCACAATTTAGCATACATTCATTGCACTATACGGAGGGACCCAAACCCACTTGGGTTCCTAAAATTAACCCTTGATTTATGGTTGAAGTGGAGCAATGGATCAGGCATATATGTTGTATGATAGAAAAGTGCTCCTCAAACTTAAGGTAAAATTATATAAAATGGTGGTGAGACTTGTAATGCTTTATGGTGCGGAATATTGGTCATTAAAAAAGAAGCATAAAATTAAGTTAAGTGTTACATAGATGAGGCTGCTTAGGTGGATGAATGGCTTTACTCTTGAGATAGAATGTGAAATGAGCATATACATGAAAAGGTTGGAGTAGCTCTGATGGCAATATAAGAATAGAGAGAGTCACATTTATATGGTTTGGTCATATAAAACGTTGACCTTTTGATGACCTAGTTAGGATAGTAGATGTATTAGACTTGACTTGGCTATAAAATATTAGAAATGACCTTTTTTATTAGATTTAAATGAGAAGTTGACTCTTAATAGGATAAAATAGTGAAAAAATGCTCATGTAGAGCCAAGCCCACATATTGGGATAAAGGCTTATTATTATTGTTATTACTCTCGCAAGAGGTCTAACAAGGGCATATAGTACCTGGCAGTGGATGTTCACTTTTAAGGGGCCACTACATGCTATGATTAGTTTGTATCTTTATATATATATATATATATATATATATAGTTTGAGTTTTTATTTGTGTCAATTTGTTGCATGTTTGTGTTTTTGTATTATGTTTGCATGCATGCATGTATGTTTTATAGTTTATTTTTGGGATTTAATGTTGATGTTAATTTATTTTATACATATTCAATAGTGATATTTTAGAAAACCATGCATAGAGAATGTGCAAAATAATTTTGAAAGTGGAAGACAATCAATACAGAGTTGATACAAGTGAATAAGGAGTAAATACTCAAGTTGAAAAAGATACACAAAATGAATAAAAATTAACACATAAAAATTTAGAAACTATGCAATATAATTTTGGAAATGAAAGACAGTCTATACAGAGTCGATATCCGTGAATATGCAGTAAATACATAATTAATATCCAGTTCATACGCAGTAAATACATAATAAATATATAGTTAATACGCAGTTTCAAACACGGTTAATACGAAGTTCATACTAAAAAAATATGATGTTCATATGGAGTAAATATACAATAAGCCCTTAAAACCCTAAACATCAAGCTCTAAACCCCATTTTGAGAGATAAGCCTAAAGAAGTATCTCTTCAAAGATGAACTGAACAAGAATGATGGACTAACCTTGTTGGTGGATGATGAACTTAGCACATAAATGCAGTTGAACAGTGAACTATCTTGAATGTTGAAGCAGAAAGTGAACAGTGAATGTTGAAAATAAAAAGTGAATCTAATGATGGAAAATGAACAGGCTCCGAGGATTTTGATCTCCTGCAAATTTAAAATTTTATGGGCTAGATTAGTCAGGCTGACAAAATAGAAATAAAATAAGAAATCTATTTTGGATTGGATCAGACAGGTTGATAAGATAGAAATAAAATACAAAATTCATATTGAATATCTAAGTGTCCAATCCGTTTGTCATGATTTTATTGGAGAGCGAACACAAAATTACATCCGGACTCCACACAACATAATTTCTCGAGGGACTCTTGCATTCTTTTTGATGGAGCGAACCAGAGACGAATAGCCGGACAGGAGATAGAGGGCTGACGAGTGAGCAAGCTTGTATGCTTGGCCTTCTTATGAACGAGAGATGGAGTCTGAACATTTCCTCTATTTAGTCGATCCAAGTACATAAAAAGACAAAGGCGTTGATTCAATAAAAAAGGTTTTTGATCAAAACAACCACAACGCAAATACTTAAACTTGTTTCCATACAGAAGTAGATTACACTTGCTTCTCTATGTTTCTCACAGATGATGTTGTCGAAGCAATTGTTGGTCAGATATTTAAGCAAGCATATTTTAGCTGTGATGGGAAGATGATTATGCTTAAAGGATAAAATTTGTAAATAAATGACTTTCACTGTAGGAAAATAGTTCATCACCGGCGACAATTTCGGCGATCTTCCATGTTTAATATGGGTGTTGTTCCAATACTACTATTGCTTCTTCTTAAATGAACAAGCAATTAAAGGAAGCAATGGAATCAAGAATGATCTCCAATTGCAAGGTTTATCTTCTTTGGTTTAAGTTGTTAAGCTCATTTAATTAACAAACTCTTTTAGAGCTTAATTAACATTAACATTTTGATAAAAAAGACATCTACGAAATTCAACTTAATAAAAAAAGTAACATTGTTGTTGGAATTGTCTTGAAACATAGAAATTATTTTGAAACAAATCGACAAATTAGTGATTTCTGTTGTTTACTATTAGAGCATTAAATACAAATGAATTACATAATTATGAATATTCTTTATATTATTCCAAATATATTTCATTCATTCTGTTCATAGAAAAAAGAGGAATTAAAGAAAATAATAAACGATGCAATAAATTGCATATGTATGATTCAATCACTAAATAAAAATAATAAAATAAAGGATACAATATTTAAATAAAATATTTTGGATTGATAATGAAAATGGCATATCTTTCCTAATGAAATTCTTATTTGTAATGTGATTCAAAACATCTGCATTCCTAGATCTTTATCGAGCTTGTAGGGGTGAAAAGGATATATGTTGACCTTCTACAGTTATATCATCTCCTTAAGAACCTAGCATACTTTATATCCTATGTCTAGGTATGCTAACATATTATTTCACTATTCTTGATTGTTCTTATATTTCTCCGTCGAGGCTATACATCACATTAGATTTTAACTATATATATATATATAGACACTCTGTGCATTATAAAAAGAGTATAAAAATAAAGAATCTTCATTAGTACTTAATATGTTCTCTACATCATCAATCCAAAACTAGAGAATTAGCTAGACA